AATCAATTTCCATATTTTTCGGAGAAAAAAGTATTGTGCATGTTTTTCTAGCTAGCTGATTTTGAATTTTTGGCTGATTTATTTATAGTTTCAATGGTTTCGATCCAAATTAAAGGACATAAAGCATAAATATAAAAAAAAAAACAATTACTTTCATCACAACACCTGAATAACGAAGCTCACATTTTCCACATTTTCATGATATATGTAAATCTCATTCATCAAAATTAATAATTAATCAAGATATAGTTGAATTAAAGCCATATTCAGGCTGGTGTCAAAATAAGACTCAAAGAAATGTAACTTAAACTACAATAATTCCAAATTTGAAATAAAGAAAGATTATTCCCAGCAAATACAAACAGCTCTATTCAGGTATAATGATTTATACCCAACCTAGACACTGAAGCAGAATTTTTTTAAAATAAACCTTACGAATAACTGACGAAAGTATTTAGACAATGCAGCACTGGATTAACTTAAATTAACGAAATACAGAATTCAAATATGAATTTTAACCAGTCCTACATTCTTTACTTAGCGTTTTCCCACAATTGACTACAAAAATTTGTAAAATGTTTTTTATAAAAATGAAATTTAAGCTTTTCCTGCATTTTTTGTGTAAAGATACAAGATATTTCAAATTCAAGCATCCTCTACAGACAAAAAGTATCAAACTACAGAATTCAACACTCATGTGTTTTCAGATTCTTTATTTTAAACAAAAGCTGAAAAAGAAGCGCAATAGATTTTTATCAAGTTTAGCATAAACAATCAATATCTTGTTCACGAGCAAGGTCGAAAAATTTTCTTTCATTTTTTGAAGTTCGTGGATGATTTCAAATTACTTCCCAAGCGAATGAAAAAATGAAGCGAAGATTCTGTTTTTTTCGCAGTCTTTTCAAACAATTTTCCACGTAAAAAATGAATGAAAAGATGAAGAAAAAGTTAATTAAGTCAAAATTAGATTAATGAGGAATGTGGTCGGTTATCAAAAATTGAACTTTCAGATTCCTTTTTGATTGCAATTTTGCTTGAGATGATAAACGCGAGTTGTGTCTGCATTTCTGCTTGCGACAAAACAATTCCTTGTCACTGCTTTAATGTTAAAGAAGAATTATTGAAAATTTGATTTTCCCAAGATCAACTTTAAGGTAAAGCTTCATGTAAAGAAAAAGCTGTTGAATTAATGAGTTTTTCATTCACATAGAAACATTTACTTTTATGTTTGCATACAGAATACATAACAATGTCAACAAACGTGTCAAGAAATGTAACAAAAATAGTATGATAATTCCAGTATTGTCTGGTTTTAAAGTATTCTTACGCACAACCAGCATTATTTTGTTTATATTTAAATAATCGGTAGCAAAAGTTAAAGTTTATTTATTATAATTCAGTTCGTTTTATTATATTCTGTGTAAATATTATGATGTTTGTGGAATAACTCAATTTATGCATGTGTACATTTTATAAATATAAAATGAAGTGCTAAAAATGTTATTGAAAATATTTTCCACAACCTTAAAAAGTTGTTCGCATACACAATTTTCTATTTTACCTTCTTCTTTTCCTCAATGTGGTGGGAGAGGAAGCAAGTCGAGGAAATTTTAATTATCAATAAATGACGTAACAACTTGTAGAGTCTTTAATTGCTTCGCTTATATTTATTCTGCTATTGTGTCATTCATAAATTACGATTCTTAAAAATTGGTTTTTTTCTACTATCACGTAAACATTTAAGTTCCTCCAGAACCAAGCATTCCTGCTATAGATATTCGTAATGCTGTGTCAGAATTGACATAGGAAGGATGCTTATATATTAATTACATAAACATATAAAACAATGCTTATTAACAACGTGACCTATCATTTTTACGATGGATACTCATCATTCTTAGAATGTGTGCGGAATGAATTTAATCAAATTATACAGACATGAAAGATTACTTAATTTCAAACACTTGAAAATCGACTTCGATCTAAAATTGATTTGATTAAATGGGCTAACATTTCATTTGTTCATTCTATACGCTAACAGACCCGCTGTGAGCAATACAAGAATTAGTAAAAGACCAATAATTAATTATTGGATCTTTAGTATTGATGCTCACTTTGTGGGTTAATTTTAAAAGTAAAGGGTAGAAGAGTAATGCTCATATATTCTACAAAAAGTTTAAGTTCTTCTTATTATACAGAATAAATCTTTATTTCCATACCCTCATGTAACAAACACCGATAAGTTTACATTCTCTTCTCTACCAACCTTCCTTTTATGTATATATTGACAAAAGGTTTGAGCCATTATTCAATTTTGTATTATTTACCAGCAAACTTTTTAAGGTTAAGCTAAATAGTATCAATTCACCTTGAATCTTAACAAACAACCTATAATTAAAGACCATCAATGATGAAAAGGTTGATATATGTGGACTATTCTTCTCTTACATGATTTTATTGATGCCTACCTCTTTTTTTGTTAAAGCATGTAATTCAAAAAAAAATCCTCCCATCATCAATTCAACAACATTAAATTTAATTTCATTGTTGAAAGAAAATTCAATTATGCTAGGAAGCTCTTCACATTTGCTTGCTTTTGTTGTTGAAAATCGTTTCTTCTAGTAACTTCCTTTTCCATACGTTTCTTCGTAATTTTTTTATTTTCAAATTTCCTCCCATTTAACTATGTACAAAATATTTTGTGATTCAAAGGCACTTTCAAGAATCTTGAAAATTAATTTTTTGGGCTTTTTCTTCAAGCATTTTGAGACAGTTTCTATTTAGAAGATGAAATTATCTTTGCTTTATGATACTGTATGGAGAAATCTTGGAAGGATGGTTTAATATGATTTATTTTTATGACGGTAAGTTAACTCTTATGACAAAGCTTTGACAAAAATTCCAAATATTAATTCTAGATGTTTATCATAAAACTTTTTTGAACCAATCATCATTCCAAACAACTAAACATGATTGAGTTATAAATGCGCTTTTAATTTAATTCATCAGAACATTCAATTGAATCTGAATACTCAATGAAATTTCAGATTGTTGCCTCAAGAAGGTTGTGAATTTCTAACGTTTTAAAGGTATTTTAGGATATAAGATACATACTTTACTTCAATCATATTATTTATCAATTCCAACCAAAACTTGTGTCTTCTTTCGTAATAATCAAACCTTTCTTTTAAGTCTTTCTTAAATGTTAATTTTCATAATACTATTCAGGTTTACTGAAAAATGTTAAGAAAATGGTTTTAACAATTAAGTCAAAAGGTCAGTCAATATTAAAAACAGTTGTGATCAAAAAATATGTTTTTTAAGAGGCAATGAAAAACGATTCCGCTAAAATGATTTTCTATAAATTATGAAAACTTTTATAAGACATTGCCACAAACGATTGTGTAATCTAATTTCCTACATTAGAATCGTAAAGATTGACGCATGAAAAAATTCCAATTTAATTCTCAACTTTTTGAAAACTCCGAAACTTTTTCGTATTCTGCCTTGAATAGTTCTGACATTAATACAATAAATTTCATTTATATGTGCCTAATTAATTTTTTGGTGCTTTTGAATGAAGTAATTTATGTCAAAGTAATGTGAAATACGAAACTGTGAAATTAATGAGTACCTTTTTCGATGAGCAGATAGAAATCACTGATATCCTTAGTATGAGCCTGAGGCGTAGATAGAAAAGATTGAAATAATAAAGCAGGAGAAGATTTAACAGCAAATTGATATAGAAGATTGTGAATTAGACCCCCTGACTACACCCAAATAATCACTATAAGCTCCACAGACAATTAAGATGTGAATTTAAATTAATTGCTATTTTCGGTATCAATTAAAATCTCTTAAAGCTTAAATTTGTTAGTGACAAGTGGGAATAATGGTTTATAATTGAATTATGACTTTAATTGAATCAAAATTTACTTCTTCTACATATCACCAGATTCTCTTTTAATTATCTTTTCACGAGATGCTAAATGATGAATGAGCATTTCTCGGATTCAATTACTCATGACCTATTTTTTTTCGACTATGAATTATAAATCGTCTATCCTATCAGAATTTGTGTGAAATTGAGTGAAATGCTTGAAAATAAACACTGTGCATTTATTTAGTCTCGTAGAGATCAAGGTGCTGAATGTTCGCTTAAAAATTGATGAACACATTTATTTAATAGATGGAAACAAATGAGGATACACTTCCAAAAAGGAGGAGTCATTTGGATATTATGTAACGTCTAGTCTGTAACAAAATTTGCAAGGTAAGCTTAAGCGAAACAAAGGAACAATCCTAGTCATATAGCATCACGAGCGTTAGTAACGATCCCTAAGCATAAAGCACCTAAAAATAAACTTCAATTCTCGGAAGTTAAGTGATGAATATATTAGGGTTCGGAAAACCACTAACTGATTATCTACAGTTATCAACTTTTAGATAATCTACACAAAATCTACAGTTATCAACAGTTAGTAAACTGTAGATAATTTCTTTGAATGAAGAAAATCCGTTAAAAAAATTTGCAAAGTTTTGTAAACAAACAATTTTTGGAGACTTTTTTAATAAATTTATATATAGAATACACTTATTATACATTAAGAGAGCTCAAATGTCAACATTAGCTATTAAAAATCAACTTTTTGTTTATCGAATATTTGTAACGGTTATATGAAATTCAAATATTGTTCACATGTTTGTAAACAAAAAAAATTTGCGAAAATTTCTTAATTTTCAATTAAATCACCACACAAACGCTTTTAAAATACTGAATGAAGCCTAATGTCACTTTATTTGAACTGTTACATGCTGTTGCAGTCCTGATTTTAGCATTTCAACTCTTTTTTCAGTAAATTAATAACGTTTTTTTCCACTTTGAAAAAATTATCTACAGTTACTTATCTACAGTTACAAATTGTAGATAACTGTAGATAAGTGTTACTAACTGATAATAACTGTAGATTTCCGAACCCTAGAATATATCCAATTTATATTTCATTATAGGAAAACAAAGCAACTTTATTCAAATCTTCAGTCCGTGTTCACCGGGTGCAATAATTTTTACATTGTGATCGCCTACATAATACAAAATATTTCGCTCACTCTCTGTCATGTAAATGCCATTCTCACATTTGACTTTCTTTATTTTAAGCTTTCCATCAACATCCCAAAAGTCGCCAGACTTTAGTTTCTCCACAGTTATTGACACATCGCTGAGATCTTCAATATTATTTGTGAGATACTGATGCAAATCAGAAAGACCGACTTTGAGGATGACAGACAGTTCACTGCACTCTTTTGTTAACTTGTGGAGCTTCATACTCATTTTAATTAAATCTTTTTCAGTACATCCAAGATTTGTGAAGAATGTGATGTCATCAAATATTACGCTGACATTCTTAATGCCATTACTCTTGAAGGTATTTACATGACTATTAATTTCAGCATAAAGTTGATCCAACAATTTATCAGGATCCGAGGTCATTGAAGGCACATCACGCAGCTTCTCAATTACAACGAGACTCTTCTTATTAAGACTCATAATTAGATTATATCCCAATTTCTTGCCGCATGTTTCATAAAATTTAAGTGACTGATGGCAACATATTAAGACAATAGCTGAACTCTGTTGTCGCAATCGTTGACCAATTAAGGATGAAATTAAAAATGAGCCATCTGTGTCGCAATTCTCATTGATAATAACAAATTTTCGAGGCTCCGTAAATCCACATGCTGAAATTAGCAGTGCCATATCGATAAACACTTGAGGCTTGTTTGATTAGCTCGTTATCTCGTCGCGATCTAAAAATATTTTGAAGAAAAGAAAAATGAAATCAGGAGAGAATTTAACGTGTCTCTATTTGCTCACACAATTGTCGGACTTGTTAATGACGTCGATTGAGCATCATTTGTGTTTACGTCTTTAAGATCTCGGGAATTAGTGGCTATTCAATATCTCGGTAGTATAAATTCTTTAAATTTTGGAGATGCCATATACAGCACATAAAAGACGTGACAGAAAATTAATTACCAAGCTTATGCATAAGAACCGTATGATTTATGTCTCATGTTCATAATTTTGATGTCTTTAACATATTCAAGTGAAACAAATTAGACGCCTGAAGTAAAAGCAGCGAATCGTGATTGCAAAACCACTACTCAATTGCGTAAAATTACACATGAAAGCCTCTAAAGTGCATGATGACTTACGCACATACAAAATATTATGTTAATGAAAAAGTTTTGTTTCTTATCTATTTATAGCAACATAGTTGATTGATTTACGCAAAGCGTGCAAGAAGGAATGAGGCAGATGTGCGAGATCTCACTGTGCGCTTGTCCTATTCTGTTGACTATATTCTTTTTACTTCTCATATACTCAATTTTTTTTCATGATGCTGTTTGAGAATATATATTTTTCCACATTAAATAAATTTTGTGTGATATTTTCGGAAACTCATTTTCATTTCGTTTCTGTGAAACCATCTGTTGAGTTGTGAGTCGCGTATAATTTTTTTAATGTCAATTATATTTCCGTTTAGTTCTGTGTCACATTAATTCTTTTCGTCCTTAGTTTATTTGTGCACGTGCTGTGTAAAAATCTTGAAGAACTAACAAGTTCGTGATCTTTAACATTCAAGGTCGGTGTCTGACTTCATTTTCACTGTATGTTGAATAAAAGATCCAGTGGAATAAGAAATTTTGGCTTAGAAACTTTGGATACTGATTGTGAAATAGTCTTTCAAATGTTATTGATCCCGAATAACTCGAATATCCACAAAAACTCTTCGTGGATAGTAACAAATGAGCATAAAAGCTATTTTTAATGTTATTGACGTAAAACTTGCCGATAATTTTGTGTAATCCAAATATTTTGTAATCTTATCACGTAAGGTGTGGCAACAGCACATTAAATTAACACAATTACTTGTTATTTCATACCTAATTTATCTTCAAATTATCACTTTAATGATTTATTACTTCACAACTTAATGTTTATATTTGTCAAGTCCTTGTAAACAAATCAAAAGTTTTCAAAAATTCTCGCTGGAAATTTAGTGACAGCTTGATTTGTGGATTAAAACTTAAAGACTCTTACCTCTTTTATCTTATTTGATCTTGTTGAATAGTAGTGAATTATGTTTTAATGATGAAATTCCAACTTTAATTCATGAAATTCAATTTTTTGCTATGAACAGTTTTTTTGCTTCAAGGGTTTTTAAAATTTGAAAATATTTTTGTAATTCCCTTGCATAAAATCATTCAAAAATCAAGCAACTGTTGAAATTTTAATATTTTCTTTTAAACTCATAGTTAAATAAACAAAATTATATGTATTAGACATCAGGTAATTATTAAATCAGCATGATAAAGCACCGAAATTACTGAATAATTGTTCATTAATGATAAAACAATTCAGAACGAAATTATTGCAAGAATTTTGTGTCAATTATGAATTGTTAAAGTGATTTGTGAATTTTATTTAATTATAGCGTATTCTGTGTATTGATTAGCAATATACATAACATTCCTGTAAAGTGCATTCCTTGTTTTATCGTAATGTTTTAAAGTCCAACTAAATTGGTGCTAATAGAATTAAATATTCAAAAAAGAAAATTAAGCAGGATCCAAGGTCGTAATTTATTCCATTCTATATGCAAATTAGCTTATAAGTCATTAAAAATTGATAGGTAATTGATTTATTATTTTCTAAATTACAGACCATAATATAATATCCAGAAGATGGCAAATCGTCAAAGTTATTGGTATTTCGGAGGTTTAGGTGAGCTTTTAATGACTGTAACTTTTGATCTCAAGATTATTAATCGTTATCACTAATTTTTCGACATAATATTAGCTTCGGCCGGCGCAGCATGTTGTACACATCCACTTGATTTGATCAAAGTCCAGCTCCAAACATCCCAAGAGAAAAAAGTATCGATTGTAAGACTGACCGGTCATATCGTTAAGAATCAAGGCATCACAGCTTTATATAATGGCATATCAGCTTCTTTGCTACGTCAATTGACATATTCAACTACAAGGTTTGGAATTTATGAGGCTGGAAAACAATCGTTCGGAAGTGATTTAGGATTTCTAGGAAAAGTGGCATTAGCAGGAAGTGCAGGAGCTGCAGGTGGATTTGTTGGAACGCCAGCTGATTTAGTAAACGTTCGTATGCAAAATGACGTTAAATTACCTATGGAACAAAGAAGAAATTACAAGCATGCAATTGATGGCCTGTGGAGAATTTATTCACAAGAAGGTTTTACTAAATTATTTTCTGGTGGATCTACAGCAACATCGAGAGCAGTTTTCATGACAATTGGACAGCTATCATTTTACGATCAAGTCAAGGCCTTATTACTCAATTCTGGATATTTTAAAGACAATATGTTCTTGCATTTTACTGCATCATCGATTGCTGGCGGTATTGCAACCTGTATGACACAACCTTTAGATGTTATCAAGACAAGAGCAATGAATGCCAAGCCAGGCGAATATAACGGTGTGCTTGATATCGTTAGACATACAGCAAAGTTGGGTCCTTTGGGTAAGTCTTTTGATTATATGCTATGTATTTCTATTGAAGACTATATATGCTATGTATTTCTTCAGGCTTCTTTAAAGGCTACGTCCCAGCATTCGTTCGTCTCGGTCCACATACAGTTTTAACATTCATCTTCCTTGAACAATTAAGGATTAATTTCGGCTTTTTCCCAGAAGCAAAATAGATTCGTACCCGAATCGTGTCAATCAATAATTTTGTCGTCTTGCATTCGAGCTTGTCTTCCGATTTGGAAGTTTGTCATCTTCTCCAAACAATTATTTACACCAACAAAGTCACAAATCAAATTGGTATATCTTCCTATTAAATATGAGACAGCCTTTTTTTTGTCCTCTTTCCTGATTAATTGGAAAGAAGAACAACCAAAAAAAAAAAAAATTATCAACTTGTGACAATAATTCTCAAGTTATCACGTAAAGAAAAATGATTGTTAATCTATGTCTAGTTATTGTGCAACATAAATCGTATATTTTTTAAACTATTTTTTATGCAAGAGTATCAAAATTGCATTTACGAAATCAATTATTAATTTATAAATATACTGTTGGAGTTTCCATATTATTGGATTCAACAGGTTGCAATAAGGCTTTTTTGCTTTCATTTAAAAATATCACATTCCGATTTGAAGATGCTTTTTATTAAGTAATTGTTAACTCATTAGGATTGAATTAGGGTTTATTTTTTTCTTATAGAAATATGTATGTATCTTAGCTATCATAACTGTTGACTAAAACTCTCTTGATAAATTTTTTATCTTTGTTTTTCTATAATTTTTAAGTCTTTTTATTATTTTTGTTTTGAGCTTTGAGATGATAAGAAAATGTGGATGAAACTTACTGCTAAGTGTGGGAATTGGATTAGTAGCTTATATGGCTTATCATTATAGATAATTTATTTAGAAAACTAGCTTTTATCAAGTTTACTGTATGCTTTTAAATCTTATAGTAACTATTAAATGATGTAATGACTTACAAAACTTAATGCAACACCAATTATCGTTAAGACGTTAGGACGTAATTTACGAACGGCCTAAGTTAAGCTTCAATGTTGAAGCTGGTTGAAGCTTATCTAAGACGATCCAACAATTTAATAAACTATTAAGTGTCAACGCATTTGTGAAGCATAATAGCCTAAGTAGTGACCAAAATCATCAATATTTGCGTGTTTATGAAAACGAGAATCGCAAACAAGTAAGAAGAAGAATAGATTACGCGTCAAACAAACAAGAATATACATATAGTAATCCATCCCTTTAAGAAGCTAGTAAACAATTTCTATCATCTCAAATGCTCTCCTTTTAAAAAATATTTATTTTGAAGACATAATCTCACTAAATGAATAGTAATAAAAAACTTAATAGACATGAAGCCGTGCAAAAAGCATATTAAAGCATAGAATAAATTTTATTTTGCTAAATATACTTATAGAAATTATACATATACAGCTTTTTTGATGGAAATAAGAATAAAGGAAAATAATTGACAGTTTAATGTTAAATTTTATTGAGAGAAGATTTTTCTTAGCTTTATTGTAAAATTATTGAACTGATTTCTTTCAACTTTACTCAATATGCTTTCCATCATGAATACTAAATGATGAAAATTTTAAAAATAAGATTCCTCTAGCCGTCACAAATCATCACAGGAATGTCTAAGGATTTTTTGATTTCAGCTATTGAACCATAGACTCCTTGATAATCTTATGTTGACTTTTCACTTGAAGTTCTGCCATGAATTGTTACGAACGATACATTTATTGACTGTTACTTCCTATTCAGCTCAACAGTATTCTAATTATCTTTTGTAAACAACCTGATTTTTAAATATCCAGGGATTTCTCTCATCTTTGAGGATATCTAGAATTTAAGTCAACTCCATCGACATAATTCTGTATCATTAAAGCATGCAAAGGTAAATCAAAACAATCCAACTTTTCGAATATGTTCTAAAAACCGTTAAAAATAAACTTGTAGCACGTGGGCAACATGCTTCTCGAAATGTCATTAGTAACAAAGGAGAATTAAACATAGAAAAGTTTACAGACATGCTTTATTTGGCTTTAAGTTATATTACTAGAACATTTGGTGTACGAACAAAACAAGAAGACAATGAAAAGCATGGCTTAATCCTGGATTACACTCAAATTTATTTTAATCCAAGTTTAAATTTTGAATTTAAAACTTTAAATTTTGAAGTTTGAACCTTGAATTTTGAAATTAAAACCGCCGTTATATTTTAAATTCTGATTTATTTTGTTTTTTCCTCTTAACTTAACTAAAGCACACTATTGAAAGACTTAAATGGCACCAACTAGAACTATTCTTAATACTTAAATTAATTCATTTTGTTTTGGTTCAATTCATATGCTTTAAAACTTTTGTGAAGTTATCTTAAATGTCGAAAGAAAAGTTTTATGCCGACTTCACAGTAGCTTTAAAACATATGATCAACCAAAACAAAGTGAATTAAGTTTGAAAAACTTTTAAAATCCGTTAAAACGATCTTAAAGTTCAAAATAACATTACCGGTTTTTTAAAGTTTGAAAATCAAGCGTAGTGACTTTTTTGCAGGGAAACTACGTTCATCACTTCTCAATTCTTGAGCATTAAAATCATCTTTTAATCAGGAAATAAGTGAATTAAAGCATTAAAAATGAGCGTGGAGAACGCAGAAGTGACTAATAATAGTAATAGTGTAAGTTTTATGTCAATATTTGAGGAAATAACATGATTATTTTGAAGTGGAAAATTTTTAAGAATTTCGATCTGCAATAAAGTGAGCAAAGCAGACTCGGAACAGGCAAAAATCGCGTTTTAGGTCAACAGAAAGTATATTGAATGAGCCGAATTTGCTTCAAACAATCGAGCATGTCGTAAAGATTATGTTTAACTCTAATTAATTTAATAATTAGAAGGTCTTTGAACTTTGGCTTGTAAACTTCAATTTCTGTGTTTCCGATTCTGTAATAATCAGCCATTTTTTGTCTCAATAGTTTCCCATTACTTTATGTATGGTAATAAGCGCTGTAACTATATAAAATTTTCACTTATCAATGTGTTTAATGATTAATCAATTTTGCCAATTTTAATTGTGAGCTTTTTTGTGAAAAAGTTGCAACATTACTGCCATAAATTGTGCTCATTTATGCTGCATATAGACAATTTCTATGAAATGTACATTATTTCGCGAATATTCGACTCATTAAAACGTCAAAACTTTCTCTAAGAATTTTACACGTAATAAAGATCCAGTAAAAGATCCAGTGAGCATGTAATTAAGCTCGCTGAAAGTGAAAACGTCAACCATTTGATATTTCTGGATTGTCTGTTCCGTATTCTCATGCAGCACTGCCTTATGTACGAGAAAAAAGTAAAATAAATGTGAAAGAAGAAAATGATGTGTAGCAATTCAAAGAGGAAAGAAAAACGTTATCCATTCATGCCTTTTCGATTTATTTTTGCCAACTTTATACATATATATCTGCAAAAAGCACTTTCTCTATTCAAGCATATTAATTTTCGCTATTTCAATAAATAAATTTCAATAATAATTTGTATATTATAATATTTAGCACGACTATAAGATGGTGAATGGTGAGCAGCATGTAAATGGTATGAGCAATGGACATAGTGATAAACATAAGAGTAGTAGTAGTAGTCATAAGTCGTCAAGCAAAGATAAGCATCGTGATAAAGACCGTGATAAGGACCGATCAAAAGATCACAAAAGTTCCAAGAGCAGTCACCGGTAAGCACATCACTTTCACACATCACAATATCACAATCATTACATAAACACATAATTTTATTTTGCAGCGATAGAGAGCGAGATGGCGAGAAGCATTCGAGCAGTAATGGAAAGGAGAAACACAGCTCGTCATCGGGCAGTAAGTCACACAAGAGTAGCAAAGATAAAGATCGTGACAAGGATAAAGAGCATAAATCGTCGAGTAGTAAGGATCACAAGAGCTCTGATCGTGATAAAGATCGAGAGAGGTCTGATAGGGATAAACACAAAAGTTCCAGTAGCTCTACTAAGGATAAAGATAAAGATAAGGAAAAGCATTCCAGTAATAGTGGATCAAAAACAACATCTTCGTCGCATAAGAGCTCAACGAGAGACAAAGACAAAGAACAACGTGAAAAGACATCGACTGGTGACACATCATCAAAAGATAAGGATCGAGGAGATCGTGACAAGCACAAAAGTAGTAGCAGTTCTAATTCAAAGAAACATAAAAGTAAAGACAAAGATCGTGAAAAGGATCGCGACAAGGACAAATATAAATCGAGCTCATCAAAGGACAAGTCGTCTTCACATCATCACAAGAGTTCAAGCGAAGCAAAAGTTGAGCCTACAATTAAGCAAGAACCAGAAATTAAAAATGAAGAAATTAAATCGCCAATCAGAGAATTTTCAATCAATTGTGAGCGCCTAGACATGTCTCAAAATAGCTCATGTGACTACTCATTGTCACAATTTAAAGACGAAGAATCTTCACTGCCAATCAAGTCTGAAAATGAATCCGAAGATAATAATTTTGTTGAATGCAAGGGTGAGCCTGATGACGTAGATTATGAAAATGAAGAGAGCCAGCAGGGAAAATTCACTATCGACGAAGAATCTGAAGAGGATATTCCGTTGTCTAAAAGGAAAAAAGTTGAAAGTGAGTCTGAAGACGATGCACCGCTATTTGCACGCAAAAAAGCCAAGACCGAAAAGAAGGATAAGAAAAAGAAACGTGTGAAAGAGGAATCAGAGGACGAGGACGATGAATCTGATTATGGAAAGACTAAAAAGAAGAAAATTAAACGCGAATCTGTAGCAACTCCAGCAAAGGTACGAATTTATCTCATTATTTAAGCCTTAATTCAATTCAATTTGTTCTTTTTTGTAGAAACCAGCACCGAAGAAAGCCAACAACGTACCAGAAAGTCCACAAAAGCGAGGCAAAAAGAAGAAGGAAGAAGAAGAACAAGAAGTTTGGAAATGGTTTGTTTGTTGCTCTATACAATTTATTGACAACTCTAAGCACAATTTTTTTTGTGCTGAAATATACATTTTTTAAAGCTATACTGAATTTTCTACGATGTATTTGGTGGATTTTAATGGAATGCTTATTGGATAGATCTAAATTTTGCTTTTCATCCGGTGGATTAATCTTAATCTTGCGATTTAGTTTAATCCGGAATTAAGTCTTGCGATTAAACTTATATGAACATTTTTCGACCGTTAAATTTTCAAAATTATTTTGATCGTTAATTTTGAAATAATCTTTAACCGTCAAATAATTCTAAAAACTAGTGATTGTCGGCAATCAAATTTCTCCCGGATTAATGCCAAACCGAAAAATCATTCACATAAACAAGTTTGTTGCTTTTCCTCACAATTGCTCATAAATTTAATTACTAACTGCTTGCTTTGAGAGTGTGCTTTCGCATGACGCTCGTTTCATAACTTGTTTATAAATATATTTTAATCAAGTAATTATTTTCTTTATTCGTATTTAATTAGGTGGGAAGAAGAAAAGAAAAATGATGGTACAAAATGGTCATTTTTGGAACACAAAGGTCCAGTCTTTGCGCCACCATATGAACCCTTACCGGATAGTGTGAAATTCGAATATGATGGCAAACGAATGAAATTGTCTGAGGAATCTGAAGAGATTGCTGGATTTTATGCAAGGATGATTGAGCATGAATACACGAGTAAAAAAGCCTTTAACGATAACTTCTTCAAGGATTGGAGGAGAAATATGACCAAAAAGGAAAAGGATGTAATAACAGATCTTCACAAGTGCAACTTTAAATACTTGCATGCCTATTTCCAAGAACAATCTGAAAAGAATCGCAATCGTACAAAAGAAGAGAAATTAGCACTAAAAGAGAAGAATGAAGCATTGTTGAAGGAATATGGAATTGCTGTAATTGATGGGCATAAAGAAAAAATTGGGAACTTTAGAATTGAACCGCCAGGCTTATTTCGTGGACGTGGTGATCATCCAAAAATGGGAATGTTAAAGAGACGAGTTATGCCTGAAGATATCATTATAAATTGCTCAAAAGACAGTGACGTACCTGCACCACCTGAAGGACATCGTTGGAAGGAAGTTCGTCACGATAATACAGTCACATGGCTTGCATCGTGGACAGAAAATGTCCAAAACCAAGTTAAATACATTATGCTTAATCCAAGCTCAAAGATTAAGGGCGAAAAGGATTATATGAAGTATGAAACAGCACGTCGATTAAAGTCAAAGATTGACAAAATTCGTGACACATATACAGCTGAATTTAAATCAAAGGAAATGAGGATTCGTCAACGAGCTGTGGCATTATATTTCATTGATAAATTGGCACTTCGTGCTGGTAATGAAAAGGATGAGGATCAAGCTGATACTGTTGGCTGTTGCTCGTTACGTTGTGAGCATGTGACGCTACAAGATGAGGCATCTGACGAAGATAAAGATAGGTTTAGGAGTGAAGACAAGGAAAATGTCATTATTTTTGACTTTCTTGGTAAAGATTCAATTCGTTATTACAATGAAGTGGTCGTCGAGAAGCGTGTCTACAAAAATCTGCAATTGTTCAAGGAGAACAAGAAAAAGGACGACGACCTATTTGATAGATTAAATACTGCGATGCTTAACGAGCATTTAAAGGAGCTTATGGACGGTAAGATATTTTATTTATGATGTATTAAATCATGTCTAAATAAACTGTTAATATTCCAGGCTTAACTGCTAAGGTTTTCCGTACATACAATGCTTCCATTACACTTCAAAAGCAGTTGGACGAGCTCACCGAAGATAGCATGACAGTACCCGAAAAATTATTAGCCTATAATCGTGCGAATCGAGCTGTTGCAATCTTGTGTAACCATCAACGTGCCGTTCCAAAAACTCACGATAAATCAATGGAGAATCTGCGTGAGAAAATACGCACAAAGAAGGATCAAATCAAGGAGGTTCAGCGTGAATTAAAGGTACAACATAATTATTTTTGATATACTCTAGATCATTTCTAATGAAATTTAATTTATAGGATATTAAGAAAGGCTCTGCAAAGGGATCGATTGATAAAGAGAAAAAGAAGAAGCAATTGGATAGATTGAAGGAGCAATTGACAAAGCTAGAAATACAGGAAACTGATCGTGATGAAAATAAAACAATCGCTTTAGGAACGTCAAAATTGAACTATTTGGATCCTAGGATTTCTGTTGCATGGTGAGTAATTTAACGGCTGCTGAATTTTTGAGTTCAAATTTTGAACTTTGATTCTTTAAATATGAAATTTCCGGTAAAAAGTGAAGAATTAAATTGATTAATTGACATATTCAACAGGTGCAAGAAACATGGCGTACCGATCGAGAAAATCTTCAACAAAACTCAACGTGACAAGTTCCGTTGGGCGATCGAGATGGCAGATGAGGACTATACATTTTAAGATCAAGTAAATATTTTCAATAACTTCTCCGTAATCCTATTTATCTTACGAATAAGTAAATATCATTAATAGGAAACGAGTTTAAACTGTTTAGTTCCAATTATGATTTTTTCTCTCCTTTATCCCCTCTATTAATTTTGACACATTTTAGTTAATTTTTAGTAAGAATTGATCATTAAAACTATTGTTTATTTGAGAACTTTAATGTAGCATAAACATAAACATAGAATATGTTAAGAAAGAACATGAAAACCCAATTTTGTGACTTTTTTGAATTGTTTTGAGAGTTTTTTTTTGATAATTTTTTTTGATTCACTTATGTTAAGTTCGTTTTTAGGAATTAGTCGCCAATTTCTTGGTGACATTAGTTCTTTCTTTGATATGATGAGAAAATTACATACAAGCAGTTAAATTAAATTTAGAGTATGTAGGATAATAAATGTTTAAAAACAAAAAAAAATCGATTTGAGAATACAAAATTCATTGTAATTTGACGATTAATGAATTATAGGATACAAATTGATGCATTTCTTTTTTGGCATGATCGTCAAACACCAAAATAAGAATAATAATTGATGATTTAATGGACTTTATGCAATATTAACAGTGCGAATTGCAATTTGAATGATATGAGAATTTTTTAAATGGAAATAAATGATTTCATGCAATTTTATAAAATGCTAATAATACTTTGTGGATGATTGTGGTCCCCAAAAATAGATTCAGAATTTAAATAATGTAAATTTTGGCTAAAATTCTGGAAATTCTTAAATTAGACAAGGTTTTGGGGGTCAATATGCACCCAACTTATTTCCTTTAAAAGATTGAATGAGAATTGATGGAATTAGGAAAGTGAATTTTTTAAAAATTAATTTAATAAAATGATAAGTTTAGATCACAAGGAAGTATAAATAATGTTAATTATAAGTACACACAAACACACACACACGCCCATATGATATTTCATCCCTTATATCCACGCATGTAATTGATGTGCTTTCATTGTCATTGGGTTAAAATCAATAAATAAATTAAGTTTAAGCTGAGAATGAGGATTTAAATAGTGCAAAAGAAACTTATGCATAAAAGAAAACTTTTTGGACGTGAACTTCAAGTTCGGATATATATTTGTGCCCTTCCTGGAGAATGAAAGATTATTTAAACACTTTTTTTTCGGAGCTGTCAAGACAGATCTAGGAAAATAATATCAATTCTTTTTACAATTTTTTGCGAATGGTACGAAGACAACAACTACAACAAATCAACTATTGTATAGCTATAGACTATTTTTAAAATACATAAAAATCTTATTGCTTGTATTCAATTTTAATCATAAAGGAACAATTAATAAAATTTACATTTAATAAATCGAAATTCTCGATCTTTGTGCCTATTTCCTGTTCTTTCAGTTGATTTTTTGCTTTCAGATTCAAGTAATTATTGATGGATTAAAATTAAAACCTTGCGTTAAATTAACGGGAGTTTGAATTTTGAAACACAACGGAAATTTATAATTTTAAATTAAGTTCAATATTTGAACTTGATAAGTTTTGGATTAAAAATTAAATCCTGAGATTAATCTCAGTTAATTATAATACAAAGCAAATTCACTTCCAACAAACAGCCGTTACGAAAAAATTCAAACAAATCGCATGAAATTCAGTTCCTACAACTATGAATCATTTCCTTTGTTTACCTTTTCTAATACATTAAAAATGTCAAATTGTAATACTTGTGGCAAGGCTTTCGGGTTCTTTACAAAGGAGCTGGGATGTCCAAAGTGTAATAAAGTGTTTTGCAAGAAATGTCTGTGCTATAAAATTGCAGCCATCGATAATCCAAAGAAAACTATTTTGGTCTGTTTGAGATGTTCAAAAATACAGGAAGATCCAATGATTGGTAGCAAACATGTGAAACCACCGCTTGAAGAACTACTTGGTGTCAAGCCTGAAGAAGTAACCAGTCCAATTTTAGAGCCATCAACATCAAATGACGATAATTTAATAAGAACACGACTTGATGAATTGAAAGATCCAGAAATGACAGTTGAGGACTCAAACATTGATGATATTCAAATGAGACTAGCTAATTTGAAAGGAGTTGACTATAGAAAGCCAACCGATAAGATAATATTCTCAAAAGACACACGAACAGAACAGGAAAAGATTGATGACTTGTTAAAGCAGTTTGTTGAGGAAAGGGATATTAATCAGCAATACTCAAGTCAACCAGAGGAATCGTCAGGCTCTATTGATGACATTGAGAGACGATTAGCACTTTTGAGAGGCCAAGATGTGTCTAAATTAAGATCCCAACTTCCAGACTTTTCAGACGAAACTGAGCAGGAAGAAGTAGATAGGACAATCATGCAGTACCTTGAAGAAGCAAAACTTCCAGATTTAGACGAAACAATTGAAAGTGAATTTATAAATTCAATTCCGAAACCTGAAAATAAGAAAGATATTGAGGAACTTCCATTCTGTGAGATTTGTAATGAGGATGCAGTAATTCGGTGCATAGAATGTGAAAATATTTTCTGCCATAAATGTTTTCTGGAATTCCACGAAGATGAAGAATATAAAAGCCATAAAACAAAGCCTTATCAAGCACCAAAAGAAAGTGAAAATTGAATTTTATGCTTCTAGTTCTTTATACGACGCGAAAATAAATATTTATATTTATAGTTTTACATATTATATTGACATAAATTATGAGCTATATATTTTTTGGAATTTATTTATCACTTTCACATGAAATGTAAGCTAAGCCCCATTTTAAATTGGTCAGGAGGAATTTTAATGCCTTCGTCCACTGCTCTTCGCTGTTGAATTGGATTCTGTGGGAAATTAGATAAAATACTAAATTAGTAAAGGCTTGTGTTGAAATAAAAATTCAGTTATGTTTTTAAAATATAGCGGTTTCAGATTTGAAAATGAAAACCCTACAAATATTTTTGAATTCCGGTGAAATTGGCTGTTGTAATGTTTTAAAACACAAGTTGAAGCTATACAACCGTTTTTAACATTTGTATGGCTTTCATTACAAAAAATACCAAAAATTTAACAACTTACTTTACAGAATAAGAATTTCCAGTCGCTGGATCCTCAATCTTTCCTTTATCCATTTTATAGGGCAAACAAAATCCAGAATCTCCTTTCTCAACCTCTTCCTTAAATTGTTGTAGACAATCTACAAAAGCAACCATTCCAGCATCAAACTTTGTATCCCAAAAGAACCGAAAGCCACCGCTTCCATATAATGGCAATTCCTTTTTATTTTCACCGAGAACCTCAATATACGAATGATTTCCATACGGAACTAAGTTATATCTCTTAAATGTAAAATTAATCTTTCGAGCTAAGGCTGACAAAAGTAGACACGTTTGACCCCAGGCAGCATTAATTTCACTCCAATCCACAGGTGATGATGGTAAACGCCCAAGACGAAAGTTATTAATTGTTCCAAAATGTCCCGAGTGCCAAATATGGAAGGTAACGTTGAAGATGTTGGTTGCTTTGAGCTTCTCTAATTGAGATTTTGAGTAATTTAATTGACATTCAAGACTACGATATTCATCCTCTGCTGCAATAAGCTCTCTTCTATGCTTTGTGTACTCTCGCCAATACTTTTCATCCTATAAATCAAATGATTTTATTTCTAGTTTAAGTAACTGTATATAATTGAGGTACTTACTTCTAATTTGAGTCTTTTCTTTTCTTCGTCTTGGACTCGAATAGTCTCTTTGATCGTATCTTCTTCTTTTTTAAGTGTTTCTAAATCGGTCAATAATCGAGTTTCTTCTAACAATAAGTTATCTAATTCCTTTTCAAGGTTCTCAACATCTGGTATCTCCTCGTTCAATTCCAATTTCTTAAGATAATTATTATAGTCATTCCATTCACTTTCAGCGATTTTTAACTGCTGATCCATCATTTCTAGGAGAAAGTCTGAACAGTCTGTACATACTGGATGATTAATCTCTGATATTGATGATAAATTATCAAATAGTTCAGCTTTAAGCCTTAAATTCTGACTTAATGATTCTATTTCCACTTCCTTATCATTCTCGATGACCATGAATCCATTTTTCTCGGAATCATGCTTAAGGGAAAATGGTGGAACAAAATGATCCAAACTAGATGCTGACAATTCGATGTCTGACACATCATTTTGCCTTATTGGTACTGTAAAATGGTTAAATAAAGCAAAATTTATAGGAAATTTGTAATTTTACTTACAATTTAATGTTGCAGTTTGAAGTTCATTGATATTTGAAAAGCTCTCGTGTAAATGAATTGGTTGCAAGCATCTAGCACAACAGAAATAGCACGGTTCCGTGTTATTTGACATTTTTATATTTTTTACTAAATCTGAATTTCTTTGTTTTTCTTCGCGATTCGCAGTTTTTTGCGTTTTTATATGTAAACACAGGCTGTTAAAAAGGTTTACTGCTCTACTGTTCATATTCACACCTTTTATTCTCGTCTCAAAAGCTTATATTCTGGATTGATTTAATTCAATGTTTTAACCTTAAAATGTGAGGAATAACGATCAAAATAATTTCAAAAAATCTCCTAGTTCAAAAACGTTGTCTTGAGTTCAAAAATTCAAATCTTAATGTGCCAGTAAAAAATAAAGTTCAAAAATGGTGTGAATTTTAGAAAAAGTCAACAAAAAATTACTTGTTAAGAAAATGGATAATAATATTAAGATAGACTCAGTGTTTGAAGAAAAGTACTGCATCTGTGGACACTACAGCATCGATAAATTCACCTGTATCACAAATAGTTTCATCAAATATAGAGCAAAGCTAATATCTCTTGTTGAAATCATTAGAGAAACTTTATGTTATGAGGTAAGTTATAACTTAGTTTTCTTATCTACCTATGCTCATTAAAGATTCCAAATTTAAGCCCGCATTAGACAATTCTTCATCTGAAATCTGTGATCTATGCAAAACAAAACTACTGGATTTTTACAACTTTAAAATGAGATCCTTTATATCCAGAGAAAACTTCCAGAAATCAACTGACAATTCCGAAAAAAAGATGCTGCAGATACTGGAAGATCCTGAAAATTCAACAATAGAGTACAAAATGATAGATATTATTAGAAACTTTATCAAAACTCATTCAATTAGTCGCATAGAAGTCGAAGAAAACTCGAAGAAATTTTTGGTCATTTCTGGATGTTCGCAGGAGCCTAGAGAAGAGATTGTAGAACCAGATCCGAGTACAAACATAGAAACAGAGAAAATTGATGATTTTGAACCTGAAAAACTAGATAAAAGCGAGGAATTAGAGCTTGATTGTATAGAAGAATTTCTTGACGACAATGAAGACTCAATTGATGGAATAGACAGCACAGAGAATGAAATTGGGTATGAAGAAGTGGTAGAATTTCAAGTAGATACTGATACAAGCTCATTGTCCAATACAGCATCTTTAAGATCATCAAGTTTAAAGAGATCCAGACATCCAGATGAATGGCAGTGCAACAAGAGAAAGAAGCTTAGAAATTCAGGCAAGTCATACCTTAATTCAAAAGGAAGATTAGTCAAAGAACGAAATATGCTTGAATCATGTGCTGTAACTAACTGTAGAAGCAATTGTCAATCACGTCTCACAGAAATTGACAGATTAATGAATTTCGATAATTATTGGAAGTTAGGTAACATTGTTGAACAAAGAAAGTTCATCTACAATCACATACTATCAAAAGAACCATCTAGAAGAAAAACTATTCAATCAAATAGAACTGTCACATTACAATTTCATCTCGACGTCCTCGACTCTCAAGGAAATCAAGCTTGTGTGCAAGTCTGTAAGAAAATGTTTAAGAATACATTAGCAATTAGCAATCAAGTGATTCAAGGTGTTGTTACAAAATATGGAAATTCAGGATTTACTGACGACAGAGGAAGACATAAAAGAAAACTTACAGAAGCACAGGAATTGGCACGAAAACACGTTCAAAATTTTCCATTCTTTTATGTCGAGCAAAGCATGACAAAAGTTCAATTGTACAATATGTATGTTAATGACTGTAAGAAAAATGCCATTGAACCGGTAAAAGAAAGTAATTACCGAGAAATATTCGACAAATTCAACACAAATAGCTTCTTAAAGGCTGAAAAGGTTTTGTGCGATAAATGTCATCAGTTTTATCAAGGAACTGACGAGGAAAGAGAGTCGCTACAGAAAGAACTTAATCAGCATTTAGAGGAATCAAAGAAATGCAAGGATCGTGCTCTTGGAAGAATCAGACACAAGCGAGCTATGGAGAAGAGAAAAGCTGAAAAATAGAAGTTATTTGATGACAATTGACGGAAATTCAGGATTTGAATTATAACGGAATTCCAAAGTTTGAACATGATGGATTTTGGCGACAAAAGTTAAGTTTAATTTATATTCCACGATTTAAAATTTAATCGTCCGATTTAAATCTTAATCCTTGGATTTAAAAATAGAAATTCGACACACACATGAATTGAGATTATTGTGACTGAATGGTTTTGTTTTATTTATTAAAAAGTACACTAAACTATTAATTAATTATACACTTAAAATATAAATAATAAGCAAATCTTTTTGTAATGCCCTTAAAAATTGTTGTATTTAAGTGGTCGTCTTTCCTATAGTACATTTCTCATTAGCATTTATCTATGTCTAAATACTGATCCTTAATTTTGAACGCGTTTGTAATGACTGAATTTGAGATATTGAGAGTTTGACAGAACATTTTCTTGCAGACTTTGATTTGTTCTGATGATCCGTCATAATTTAAAACATCGAGAAAATGATGCATAATACGTGAATATGCACGGTTTTTAGTTAAAGCTCGTTGCGGACGAACGAGCTTAATGTGATTTAATATGAACTTTTTCTTTTCGTTAATGCATTCGAGTCGCCAGTACTCTTTAAAATTTAATGATCGATTACTTTCATTGACTTTATTCGAGCAGTCTTTTTTGCAGTTGCACGGTGGTCCAACTGTCTTTGCAGCCACTAGATATCCCTTAACTGATCGATAAGGTTGTCCAAGAGTGCGAAGTTTCTTTTGAACTGTTGCAGCCCATAAGTCAGGCCGTCTAGCTCTTTTCTTGTGCTGCTCCTTTGATGACTTCCTTTGAATAATTTCAGAACGTGATACAAAACGATTTCCGTCAAATATACGATTCTCTTGAAAGGCTGGGAGCTTATACAAGTAATTATCACTTGATGAGCTTGTATTTTCTTCCTGAGACGTAAACTCATCAATGTCGATTCCTAAAATATCGCCGGGTAAGCCTTCTTCCTTTATTTCCATCGGCTCTATTTTGACCTCAACATTCTCGGCCTTATTATTAACATCCACTGGCTCATCTTTAATACTTGAATTATTTTCTTGACCTTGGAATGCATTTATGGATGTTGAAGACGAAACTTGCTCATCTTCATTCGATTTCTCTCTTGGTCTTATAACTAATTCCTTCGTACTTTCATTTTCTTTAATTTCTTGCACTGAATATTTCTTAATATAATTTTTAACTATTTGTACGGTCGTAAAAACGATAGAATTGTCACATAGACGATTCTCGTCAAGTTCTTTTGGTGAATCATCGATTTTTTCAAATTGCACTGTGATATTCGCTTTACATTTAATTTTAAAATTGTAAAAATCCAAAACTCGACTATGACAGATCTTGCACACAGCTGATGATATAATTTGATTATTTAACTGAAATTTGATATGAATTTGTAGTAAAATTAAGGAAATAAGTATTAGTCTTTAATTACCTCATCAAAGCTTAAGATATCTCGCAAAATCTCATGAAATGGCGTGTATGTCGAGTCTATTTTGATAAAATTATCACTAATCCTAACAAATTCGTTAATTAAATCTATTTTAACATTGCACAAGAGGCAAATTTTTTGTTCCTTTATATTGTTCATCTTTTTTTTCCCTATAATGAAATTCTAGAGAAAAATCTTTTATATGTTTGATAGTAAAGCTCGCCTGCGAATCGCAAGGCATTGTGTATATGTATTACATACTGTTTACAAACAAACAAAAATCGCTAGCCAAGATATAATAAGAAGTTCTGACTTCTTTTCTTCGTTACATTCTCCTCTCTTGTCAATATTTTTGCGCTCATACATGCTTTGATACAAGAAGAGGTCATACACCTTCTTGACTACCAAGGTCATCGATTTTTGGACTCTAACCAACGTTTTTAATCATCGCCGGTGTGGGAATCTAGTCCAGTGTGTCTGTATTGATGTGGATTGGTGTGATATATGAGCTAGTCACGACAAATGTGAGTGACTTGATGATTATTGAAATTTATGGATTTCTTTTAACGGGTTAAAATTTTTTTGATTTTTAACGGATTTCTAATATTCAACGGTTTTTAAAAATTACCCTGTTTTTTCGTTATAAGCTAGTAGCTTAGAAGAATAAAAAAGTGATTTTTTTGGCTCACTAGTAGCTTAGTAACGAGTAGTAGCTTAGTAAAGAAATTGAACTTCAATGAAAATTTTGAATTTTTTGACTTAATCAAAGAAGTTTTGCTATCTTCCCGATTTTATTTCATTGACAATGTCATAAGGCATTTAAACTGATACTTAGAAAGTTGAAAAAGATTAATTGAACTTTAATTTTGGTAGTAGCTTAGTAAAGGTTACAAAAAATTTTCAAGCTCAAAAAAACTTTACTAAGCTAGTAGCTTAGTAACGAGTAGTAGCTTATAACGAAAAAACAGGGTAAAAAAGTTTACCAGCTTACGGAAATTCAACTCAAATTGCAACGGTTTTGTGGAGTTCAAAATGTTTTATCGGTTTTCAGAAATTCAAAAATGTTCAGCCGCTTTTAACAAGTTTGATTTAAAATTCAAATTTATTTTAATCGTTAAATTTAAGAAATCCTATCGAATTTTTATACAAACTGTGCACTGCACCACTGTATTCTCATAGTTTAACCCCATTCTCTTCATTAAACTCCTTATCGTTCACCTCCTGCATTTCAATGCATTCATAATTTAAAACCCAGGTTTTGGTACAACAAACTTTATTGCCATACATTCTCACAAATTTCTCTCGAACATTCTCAAAATTATTATCTTATTTTTGCGTTGTTCTATTTAAATTGAGTCGTCAATCTCATTTTGTTGTGTACTTAATGCTCATGTTGCCTTCTTCTTAATATTCTATCGTCAATCTCATCTCTCTCAATCTGTGTAAATAAGTTTTAATCATGTAAATTGAATGCTTCTAATGACACGTAATGGACTGAATTATTTGTATGGCTTCTTGTAGAGGTTTGAGGACCAGTTTGAAGAAGACTTAAAAATACAACAGAAAGGATTAATTTACTGTGTGCAAAATGATGTCGAAGAGATTCTTTTCTTGGAATTTTGGGATTTCCCGTTCATTTATACTTAATGGAACAAAACAATCTTGATTATTAAAGTTATTTGGGAATATTAATTGTGAACAGTCACGCTGTTAAGCGGTGTAGCGTATTAAAAGTTTGACATAAACCAACGATTCCGAATTTCTTCAATTTAACAGTTGTCAAAAATTTGAATTTTAACGACTCTCAAAAATTTAAATGATTGAACTTTAACGGCTTTCAAGTTCAATAATAATGAAGCATAAATTTCAAACATTAAATAAACGTTAAAAGTTGATTGCATCATCCAAGGCAAATCAATTCCATAAAATAAGCTGAAAATAACAAAATTTATAGCCATAACGACAGATTTCCCACATTCGATTTTTCACAGCTATACTGAAAAAAAAATAACCATGAAAAAAAAGAGACGCAATTTGTTGCATATTTTCTTGATAATTAACCATGATTTTTGTTTTATTTACAATGAAATGTTTTTCATTAGATACTTAAAAATACAAAAAGCTGAAACTCATTTAATTATTTATTTATTTTTCCTATACCGTCCTTTTCTTTTTCTCTCCGAGTTTGTTTGTGTAATTAATTAATTTTTCCTCTTCAAGATTCATTTCTTTTGTGTGTATGTGTGTGTAGTTCAATCAAAAACAAAATTAATTCCATTTTTTTCCTAAAATATATAATTAATGTGATATAACGACTGCATTTTTTTTTGACGCTACATTAATTTATGGGGGTTGTGTGAATTTATGTGCTTGGACATAAAAACAGCATAGAAAATTTCTTGTAGGTATTTTTGTGGTAGTTTTTCATAGGGTTTTCTATTATTTTATTTAGTCAATGACAACATAAGGCAAAATTGTTAAAATTTCATCATTATATGATCTAACATTCATCACTTCATGCCATTCGCGAAATTCTATATCACGGTGCTTATGCATTGAAAATTTATCGACACTTTCCAATTCCACGTCTGCTGTATCATTTAATGACACACTTTTCTTTTCGTCCTTAACACTTATATCATCGATTGTGGATGTTTCATGTGGCGGCTTTGGAGGAATTGAAAACGGTGAATCATCATCAAATGTTTTTGGTATTTTATCGAGGGTAAGAAAATTATAACGCGGTACGACACGTTTCCATAGACGCTGTTTGGCATAATCAATATTTTCATTATCTTTTGAATAGTCTTGTTCTGGTCGTTCCTCCATGATACCATTAAAATATCCATTAATTCCATCTTTAAATGAATTATGAAGATTTTGGACATCATTCTGAATAACTGGATCCCGACGAAAATGTGAACTTGCTGGACACATTGGATCTTCGTCACAGACATAAGTAATAATTGGCACTCTTTCCATTTGTTGAATTGATGGTTCAGGCACAGCCGAATTTATCATAGATTCTATTCTCGATGACTTTACGGCATCCTTTTCAATTTTCACTTCAATAATTTTCGATAAATTATCTCGTGGCTTTCTACTACGGACCATCTCTTCAATGAGATTCTCATTTGCATCATATTCGGGATCAAAAATTGATTTCACAGCACTAAGACGTGGTGGCGGTGATGGAGATCTCTCAATATCCTCAACAGCACAAAAATCATCAGTCTCGTCATCGTCTTCCGATAAGTCAGACTCATCTGGCTTTTTAATATTCATATCACCATTAATATTGACTTTAATCGGTTCCTCAAAGCCATTTGTAGGTTTAATTTTAGTCTCTTCTTCATCCTCGTATGTAATGACTTCACGAAACGTACAAGTACATTCAACCAAGTCTCCATTCTCATCGTAAGAGTTTAACTCTTCAAATCTGGATATTAGTGCCTCATCAAAGTCAATTGGTGGCAATTTTGCATATAATGTTGCAATTTCATCTTCAATTGTCAATGGATGTAAAGACGACGCAGCCAGTTCTTGAGTTGTAGGCTTTGTGAGTTGTGAATCCCCACTAATTGGTTCCCGTTTAATGTCAGTCACTTCCTTCTTCACTTTTGGAAGATCAAAATTGCTATAAGCTGGTTCCGGTGGATTATATGATGCTGTTGTATAATTATTTACTAAAAAGTAGATTAATTAAAAATATAAACAGTTATCATTTGTGAGCGTGAGACATTCATTGAGAGGAGTAAGTAGCAGACACTCGGTCACTTGCTTTGTCTACATATTTTAGTGCAATTTCTTGGAGAAATGACGGTCGGAGAGTTTTCGAAATAATAACGATCAAAAATTATTTGAAAAGTGGGTTCAAAATTTTGAACTCTCTTTTTTAAATATTTTTTGACAGTTATTTTTTCATTATAATTTTTACCGTTATTTTTCGACAGACAAAATACAGGCAGTAAAGCCAATTCTGGTAGAGAAAATGCACTAAAAATAGGAGCAAGAAATGCGGAGAAGAAACAACAAAATCAATAAATAAATATTTATCTGTTGCGTACACTAGATACATATTTTTTCATCATCTTCTCTCACTCAAGTGCTTACTAACCTCGATCCAGTGAATTTGAATCGTGGATATCTCCATTAGTCCAGCTCATGGACGAATTTTGATGTGATTCAAGCATCTGTTGAAGCTCAAATGTAGTCTTATTTCGTTTTCCAGCTGATAATGCAATCTTTTGTTGTATTTCAGCCTGAAAATCTGGAATATTTCCATTGAGTGTGGAATCGAATCCTTTAGAGCCTTTACGTCGACCCCTCTTCTTTGGTTCCACAATTTTTGGCATCACAGGTTGTAGTTGTGGCTGAGCAATTTTCACATTTTGCTGCTGTTGTTGTTGTATTGGTAATGCTGGCTTTTGTGGAACAGGCACATTTGAATGTAATTTATTGTTAATAAGTTGATTACTATTGTTATTGTGTGGAGGATGATGATGTGATATTGACGAGCTATTACTATTGTTATTGGCATTCAGCATAAGTGGCGATGAAGTTGCACCAACAAAATTCGATGTCTTCATCATTTTCTTTCTACTATGATTACTATTCTCATCAATTATATCACTAGTTCCATCAATATTATTACTTGATGGTAGCTTACGCTTCCCCAATAAGCTTTGACTCTGACTTTGTGATGACTCAATAAAAAGACCACCATTTTGATGAATATGTGAATTTATTTTTTGTGGAATTGGCGATGTGACGGACTGATGATTATTCTGTGATTTTGGTAATAAATTTTTGAAGCTTGTTGGTCCATTAACAATGCGTGGAATTTGACTATTTGGTGGTGATGATGATTGTTGCGTCATAAATTGGGTATCGGATGAGCCCTGAGAGATATTTTGTGGTGAATTGGGTTGTGATGGAATTGAGGCTGCTAATCGCTCCTTCCATTTTCTTAGTAAGTTCTTAATACGCTTTGCAAGCACTTGATCGTTACCTTTGTTCTGTCTTAGTGCTTGGAGGTCTTTGATGATTCGTGTATTCTGTAAATGAGTCATGGAATTGCATTTGTTTCAATTTATAGCTTGAAAGTGGCTATTTACCTGTACTTCGCGATATGATTCGTGTGTTATGTTGAATGCTTCGAGACATGTTACGACTTTAACTACTGCTGATTTATTCCTTATCTGTTGAAAGTGATATTAATAGATGGTTAATAGGTGTGTATAGAAATGTTTAATTTACTCGAAAGTTAAGACTATTGGCGAGAAATGAATTTAATAGGAATGTTAAATGACCTTATGTCTATCGAATTAAATATTTTATTGAAGATCCAGTGAGGAAAGTTTAAGCAATAAATGACATTTTCAAATAACTGAAATATGGCTGCCATCTTGCAATTCAATGAAAAATTTCAAGTCGTTATTATATATATAACGTTAAATATATGTAGGCACAAGAGCCGAACAATCGTAGATGAGATAAATTCTCTTATTCTCTCCGCTCCCCTCTCACATTTCGGAGACTTTTAAGACCCGATCTCTCACGAACGACTATATCATGTATTGGTGAGCGAGATACGACTTTTGTCATAACAGGCTATAGCTATACACATTTTCACATCACATAGACTATTTAGTAATAACACAGCACTTTCCGAATGGATTTTCATTCAACACGATTTGAGTATTTTGTGAGCATAATTTTTATTTTTCTTTAACAGAAGAGGTCGGTTTTCAGTCTCCTGCGAACTTTTTCAACGATTCAAATAATTTCATCATTTTTATTTTTCCCTATACCATACAAAATCTTTTTTTGTGTATAGAATAAATTTTTTTTTCTTTCTTTTTCATCATCATATACACAGTGAGTGAGTGAAAAAAAATTGTAATGGAGTTTTTCGACACAAAAAAAAAATTATAAGATCTATCCCGTAATGGTTAAAAACTGAAAAAATTAAGGACACTCGAAACACGGTAATTATTATAGTTCATTTTTGTTTGGATTGTCTTTATCAATAATTCATTATTCTTTTATTTATATCCTCTCAAAGTTTTCCTATTTGACTATATATTTTTTTAACATTATGAATTTATTACTTACATTAAAATTCTCGTCCAAAGCTTGCGTCAATGAATGTGCCAATTCAATTACAGGAATATTATTCATATTAGCACTAAATTGCCAGCAGAAAGTGATTAATTAAAACCCCAAATGTCGCTTTTTGTGGGCTTTAAAAATTATTTTTTTTTACTCTCGGACTCTTTTTTTTTTTATGTGATGGCACGAGATTGGATATAAAATGAAGGAAAATTATAAAAGTTGACTTTTGGACGAGACTTGGTGCCTTTTTCACCCGTACTCGATAAGATTAAGTTAAAAGATTGTTAATAAGTGCTATAAATTGACAAGAAATTAACCGGAAGTTCCTTATTAATGGATTTTATTAAAAATATTCTTCAGCATTAACTTCCTCCTTCAACGAAAAATTGAAACTGAACCGAGTCAGTTGGTATTCCCCTGCATTATGAAAATAATGATTTTCCCCTGTATCAATATCTGCGAATCGCACGTGACTTTTTTGAATTTTCCGTTATTTTTCAACTGTCATTTAATTCTTTTCAATAAATATTCATTTTAAAACCACAATCTATAGTCTTTTAATGCCTTACTGTAATACAATTTTAGTGCCTTTTCAGCAATTTTCAAAACAATAAACCAGAGAACATGTGCAGACATGAGAAAATAAAGTTTATTCATTTGTTGACTAAAAGTTTTCAAAATATCAGGTAAACTTACACACTCATAAAAATATTTTTAATAAGTTGTTACTAAAATCTTATTAAAAAGTTTTTAATGAGAATTATTAAAATTTTAGTAAACCTTATCAAACTTTTAATAAAACTTATCAAATTTTAATAAAAGTTTTTAAAATTCTACAGCGTTGTAAAACTGTTGTAGGTTTCCAAAATTGTAAGGTTTTCATACATTTTATATACTTCACAAACGCTCCAAGAAATGACTTATACAAAAGAATGTCTTCGTTCTCATACAAAGTCATATAAAATTATAAATTTCTTATGAGGCACATTAAGTGCCAAAAATCATGCAAAGTCTTAAGCTTTGAGAAAGCATTTTAGTTAAGACTTGAAAAAGCTCCATACTATAAATTAATTATACTATAAAGCTGTTTTTGTAAAAAAAATAATCCAAGAAATTTTAATGACTTTTTACTAAAATCCATGAACAAATTTAATAAAAATTATAAAAAATACATCTTAATAACTTTTTACTAAAGTTTAGTAAGAAAATTATTAAAATTTTAACGGTTTTGTAAAATTTGAATGCAATTTTGTAAAACCAAAACTTTTAATAACCCTTATCAAATTTTAGTAAAAGTTATCAAGATGTATTTTTATAAACTTTTATTAAACTTTTTCATACATTTTTAATAAAATTTATCAATTTTTTTTTATGAGTGCACTTATTCATCCTCTAGCAGGCACACATCAAGGATGCAGAATCTAGACCTACACATTGGACAGTTACATTTCGAGTTTAACCACGTTTCTCGTTCACTTTGATCCTGTCTACTCGCAAACCATCTAGCTAAGCATGAAGAACACCACATTGGACGACAAAAGCAATTTGTACATCTATCGTCACCTTGATCGGGGCAGTGCTTGTTAATTTTTACGTCAGGCTTTTTCGTCATACATGCGAAACAGTTGTCAAGATTTGCTTGATTAGCACGATATCGTGGATTTCTTTCTATTTCACTATGAAATACTTCGACGAATCGATCAATAATTGTCGTGTGGAACTTTACTGATGATAAAATCTACAAACAAGAGAATGGAAATGTCATTTTTAACGGGATAATTGAGATTCTTGGATCTTTTAAGGAAGATAACGGTTAAAATTTGAATTTTCTGGCAAACAACACTAACACTATGATAAAAAGTTTGTGTTGTTTAATTTCACACCAAAAATTATGTTTTAGCAGTGGTTTCAAAATTTTCTATAAAAATATTTAAGTTCAAAATTTGAACTTCCAGAAATCACTAACACTATTACAATTATTATACAGATATCATTTTTGACTGGCTAGTTTGGAGTCATGGCTCAAATCTAGGAACAGAGTACAGTCATAATACATACCACAATAGGACGATTAATCCGATCCTGAAGCTCCTTAAAGTCCAGCGAATTAATTCGAATTTTAAAGGGTTTGATGCCATCACGTGTTGGTGTCACTTGAATATTTACAAACTGTGCCGAGTCATTTGTGTCCTGAATTGAGATATTATGTGAATCTGTATTTACAGCTATTAAAGCAGAATCAGATTGATGTGCAAAATGAACGAAATACAGTGATGTCTTCATGATCCAATTTTCAGTCACTACAATCTTCGTGATAGCACTGAATGTCTTGATTAATTTGTCAGTTCTTCTAAATTCATTGTTTATTTCAGCTGCGACTGTCATCCATGATTCTGGATTATTTGGTGTATTACTGTATCTTTGAAGGATCTTAGCAATTGGATGATTTCGCCAATTATTCTGTTTATAGTAATAAATGAGACATAAAGCTCCGATGGGCAGTAAAAATGCCAACACGATAAGCATATACCAAAAATATTGTACGAAAACTATTTTAGGTAATTTCACTCCAAAATAGAGATAATAAATCATTAAATACACAATTGGAACTATCGAGTGAACCATCAGCATAAGACATGATCTATTTATGTGATAATTAATGAAAAATATTGACTCAGATCCTAAATAATTGGCAAATATACTCTCGATTGTAAAGCCTAGAAAACAAAAGATAATACAACTGATAAGAACAGACTTTGTGGACGTAAAGTGAAATTTAAGTGATATTTACCTAAACTTATAAACTCTTTCGGAGGATAAATTACAGCGAATAACAGCAACAAATAGAATATATTAAATCCAACTTCCTCTTCAGACATTTTTGCTTTATCATAAACTTTATTATTATATCCTTAAACTATTATTATTATTATTAATTTACTTATGTAGTCTCATTATCACGATATAGTGTTACTTCCACGCTCAGAACGAGAGTTGCTGTTTTTGGGACTTGTTGGTACCAAATTTTATAATTTATGAGTGAGAAAGGCTGAATTTTTGGTACAAAAGATGTAAAGTAGAAACAAAGGGTTGGTTCTCATAACGTTCGAAAGGAACTGACTTATTTCAAAAAATGCTATAAAATCATGTTGTGGCTCCTGGTATCTAAATGAATAAGTATATTAGGATGCTAGATACCCAGAGTATGAAAGGGAGCGATTCATATCATTTACGAATTCTATTATCACTAACTTAGACTTAAAGATTATCTTAATTTGATCGAACATAAATCAAACTGGATTAAGAATTAAACTCAAACGGATTTAAATATTAATCCAACAGGATTAAAAGAAGATGATTTTGAGAATTCAAAATTCATCTATAAGACCTCAATCTAAAAATCCCTTAAATGCAGCTACCCTAAAATGCAGATAGTACTGCCTAGATGCAGATGTTGCTGCTAAAGTGCAGATGAAATTTATTTTCCCTAAAATGCAGATTAAATGCTGTTGCTTTAAAAAAGGTTTAATGCAGATAATTTTTATCGTATAAAGTGCAGATAAGATGCTGCCTAAATGTAGATCGTATAGTTTTAATAAAATAAATATGAAATGCTGTTATAATGCAGATAATTTAACGTTGGATATTAATTATTTGGGCCCGACGAAAAAAAATTATTCGTGAGTGACGCTATGATTTCTTTAATATCTCCGAAACCACAATAGTGACAAATTTCAAAGTTATTTTATCTTGTAGAAAACTTCTAAAGTTAAGGAGTTATGTCGGAAAGTCACATTAATTAAGCGTCACTCACGAATAGTTTTTATAAATTTTGTTATAACTTTGTCAGCTTTCATTGATATATCTGCAAATGTATTTTTTATATTCACACCGTTTTCACGTGTGAATCTATTGGTTTTGTTCAGATTGAAAAATTAGTTTTTCGCATTTTGTGAGAAAACAAAGCAAAATTGGTTATAAAAGGTCCTGGAAGATATATTGCCTGAAATTTTACACCTTTTGCAAAAATCAGATTTCAAATTGATTAAGGCATTGCTGAGAAAATCGCAAAATACGCTTTCTGTAAGCAAACAAGCAAGCAAGCAAGAAATCTCAATAACGAGACATCGTAGAGACTTCTAGTTTTATACATTTGATCCGTGCTGCTCTATAGAAGAGCTGTATTGTTTTTGGGCAAGGTAGGAACAACCGTTGCTTCAGAAAAAGCAAAAAACTTTCCTTACTTACGAATGTTTTAAAACAAAAGTTTACTGTGATTTTTATAAAATTAAACTTTAGATGAAAATTTTTTTTAAAAAACTTTTAAAGAATGTTCGTTAAGTTTAAAACCTTCACACATATGCTGAGAGAAGCTCAATTGACACGCTAGCTTTATACCTTCAAACGTATGCTGAACAAATCTCTGTCTATCCATAAGACTTTTGATGGTACGGTGCGAATATATCCGCATTGGGTTTCTACCCGATACACTAGTTTTGTTGTTAAACGACATGTAACATTTTTGCAAGATATATAGATGAGCTCATAAAAAGGATACTCGACCCAATATATACATAAATATGTCGTCAGACAAAATAATTTCCCCTAAATTTCATGATGGATCATTTAAAGTCATTAACGCGCATCAAGAAAAAAAATTCATCGAATATTGATGTATTTTAATGAAATTATACGATCTACATTTAGGCAGCATCTTATCTGCACTTTATACGATAAATTATCTGCGTTATACCTTTTTTAAAGCAACAGCATTTCATCTGCATTTTAGGGAAAATAAATTTCATCTGCACTTTAGCAGCAACATCTGCATCTTGGCAGTACTATCTGCATTTTAGGGTAGCTGCATTTTAGGGATTTTTAAATTGAGGTATCAATAAGACCAAAAAATTTGCGTGGAAGCTCTTAACTCTCGTCCGCAAGTCGTGACTTTAAATTGGTAAAAATTAAAATTAATGTGCGGACCGCAAAAAATAGAGAATTAAATTTAAAATCATAAAATCCGTTTAAATCTGAGACAGTATGAAGTCCTCGAAACTCTTGTAGTCGTCATTTTCGCACAACTTTTTGGCACATTTCATGGTTTCATCACAGCTACTTGAAGACTGATTAATGTCTTCTGGATTTTTCTTCGGTGTAGTGTCTGCTGTTTTGCTTTTAAACAGCTCGATGTCATTGCTATCCTCAATTATCTCAATAATGTCGGGCTTCTTGGAATTTTCAATGATTTGAATGTCATCGTCACTTTCACAATTTGAACATGTGAGATCTACAAACTTCTCAGTTGCTCCTGGGGCCGGTTTCCTTGCTATTGTTACTTGATCAGGTCGTGACTTTTGTTGCCTTATCATCTCCAATTCCGTTTTGAGCTTTAAATTCTCATCCTTTAATTTCATATTGTCTTGCAAATATTCATTGTTTACGGTGTCGATTATCGAATATGCTTGACACTTTATGCCATATTCGGTCTTTATTGTGTTCAGCTCAGTTCTGTTTTAATCAAATTATTATTTTTTGATTATCATGATGATTAATACAATTTTTAATTACATCCAGAGTTGGACATAGTGACTGATTAGTTCCAGTATGAATGACTGGCACTTCCGGAAGCAAATTTTTGTATTAATTGATAACATTGCTAGTTTAATTTTTATCGGAATTTCTCTGTTCTCAGTTCAACCCTGGATTACTTAATTAAGATTTATACTCACGAAGCCTGCAGCATACACTCTTTGATCTTATCAATCTCCATTGATTTTTGGAGTATTTCTTTCTGGAGTTTTTCATTGCTTTGTACTAAGTTCTCGGAAATGACTTTTTGACGTTTTAGATCATTTGTTAATTCTGTATTAATTTCTGGATCTTCAACATTGAAATATAGCTTCCGTATTGACCTTTTATCATACGTTTTTCGACATAATGGACATGTAGCTCTCGAATTTGGTGCTCTAATCAAGTTGCACATATTTTACACAATTAATAACAAATGATTTACGACATTTTACTAAACTTACGATTTTTTCCATCCTTCCAAGCAATTCCCGTGATACAAGTGGCCACAACGATTCAGGACTATCACGTCATTGTCTGTATCAAACAATTCATGACATATAATACACGGAATACTCATAATTTATGAATAAATTAAGAAATAATTTTCCTCTTCAATCTATTTCAATTTCTCGTATAATAATAACATTAGAAGTTACGAATCGTAGCTCATGTTATATTGTAAACGGTCCGCAAGCTTTTGAACTTTTGTGAATCGCATTGAAATTACATTGTACTGGAACCGAGCAGTTCTAGTAGATTCTTGTTGGTGATCCAGGAAAGTTGTTAAATTTTTAACGGAAATTTTGAATTTGAATTGTAACGGATAGTCAAAATTTGAAGTAAAGTTGAGTAAAGTTCAAAATTTGAACTAGAAATGTAACGTGCATTATAAATTTCAAATTCAACAGAAAAATAAAAATTTTATTTACAATTCAAATTTTGAACTTCAAACTTTTAACGGTTATTAGAAATTATGCAATCAAGTCCTAGAAATGACAATAATGAAGGCAGCCTATAAGATCCCCAGTTCTTATGAGCTTCTCGGGATTCTATATTAATTTTTTCATGCAGAAAATCACGGTCGTTTATAATGTGCGATTATGTTGCATATGCACTTCAAATTCCTCACAATTCTATCTTAACATCCACCAAAATGTAATATCCTTTAAGAATAGCTATATCCCGTTATCTCATATCATAGAAGAAACGTTACAATTTAAGGTAAAAAAATAAATTAATGGATTAATAAATAATTCATTGACTGGATCTCATTTAATTCAGTTATCTCGTGATGATCAGCATATATGCATAGATTGTAAGTCAAAAGTCATCGAATTCTTCATTTTTAAGAGACTTAATGAAGAAGGTCGAAAAATAATCTCGAAAGTTTCAACAATTCACGTGTTATCTAGTCCAAAAGAAAATGTTCTAGTCACAGATCAATTAGTCATTAATGATGAGTTATGTGACGCAGATGATAAGAGTTTAACATCCAGCAGTGAGAGTAATTTGAGAAAGTTGACATGGAAGAGAAATAAGAGAAAGGTTGCCAAAAATGCAGGCATGTCATACGTATCATCGAAAGGAAAATTTGTGGATGCAAAGCAAATGAGAAAAAGTTGCAATTCATGTCGACTTAATTGCTCGCAAAACGTCACCGAGGCTGATCGAGTCAAAAATTTCGAAAGTTTCTACAAACTTGGAGACATCGGTAAGCAAAGGTCCTTCCTATACAGTCACATGAAAATTGTCGCCCCAAAAAGAAGCCACAAGACGAGAAAAATTCAAAGACATTTCTACTTGGATACATTCAATGCTAGTGGGTCAAGTAAACTCATCAAGGTCTGTCGATTCTCATTTCTCAATACATTCTGTATTAGTTCTCAAATGCTGGATACAATTTATCGGAAATTTACATATAATGGTGTAATTGACGATGATCAACGTGGAAGGTACGAGAGAAATAAGGACCGACTAAAGGAATCGACAATAAATTGTGACGAAGATTGATCACGTAAAGCAAAAAAAGAAGTTTTTATTTTGGCTATTTCCTCATTTCTTTAACAAAAATTTTCTCTTAAGTGTTACAAGGTTGCTGCTTATTGGGGTCGATTTTAGTCAAGTGAAATGTGGACCAGTGGAATCGATTGGAATTTTTGAGTTAATCAGGTCAATTTAAATTTAATTCTTCGATTTAATTTTAAATTTCAAAGGATATAAATTTAAATTCTTGGATTTAATCTTTCGGATTTAAAATAAATCCAGGATCAAAAATTTTAATAATACCAAATTATGACACTTTTAATGGAAGAGACTCGACAGCATGAGCATGAAAAATGCTGAATTGAAATGCCACTTACTTGAAATCGACCCAAATAAATCTCATTAATCCTAAACTTATTTATAATCCTTAATTGTCATCATCGTGATTCTCGTCCTCAATTTCTTCCTTTTCGACTGGCTCAACCTTTTTCGGTGATGCAGTTCTTTCCGATTTTCGCGGCACATATCCACATCGACAGAAATCTATTCGATTACATCGTACCATAAATGTTGTTTCCACTTTATCAATGAGATCATCTTTGTTGCCTTCAATTTTATAGTTTTGCTTGCACTTTTCACATCTTACTGTTGCCCTTACCCTTGACTTGCCAATAAATGAAAAGTTGATTACGATTCTTGTCTTGTATTTGTCATAGACTAGTTTCCTGAGAACGTCACCGTACTTATCGCTGAATTTATTAGCATCGGGATTGAATAGATTCACTACGTCCACAACTGAGAGATCCAGTGAGCCTATATCGTACTCAATATCTAGAATAAAGAAAGGAATTAAGGTACTGATGGAAATGAAATTGTTTACTGGATCTTACCTCTCGGTTTTGATGGACGTCCTCTTTTAAGAACTTTTGGAGGTGGTGGCAGTGCTTCATGGGAAGTTGTAGCTTTACTATAATCTGATGAATAGTCTGGATCAGTTTCATCATCATCGTAGTCTTCATTAAAGTAATTTTCGTCTACAGACTCATTAATTAAACTTTGTCCACACAAAACAATTGGCTCTTGTTTAATGACTGTTGGATCTATGGCATTTTCTTCATAATCTTCAGCCTGTACATATCTAAGTTTTTCTATATGTTGTGGCTGATCATTAGATTCTATAATTAATTTCTTGCTTTTTTCATCTACTCGAATTTTTGATATTGAGCATTTTTCTGTGTAATTCTCTATTATTTTATATATTGAGTGAACCACTTTACTGGATTTCTGTAAAGTTTGTGATTTTGACTTTTTAGAGCTGCTTTTTGGAATGTGTGCCTGAACATCCTTAACTTTCTGCTTAAAATGATAGAATTTGAGTGATTTATCTTTACAATCAAGGCAAATCTCCATCGATTCACCATCTTCCTTTGAAATCTACAAAAATAAGATTGTCAGTCATGATTTAATTTAATTAACTTAACTACTCACATTAATATTCAGAGATTCCGCTAAAATTTGTCTAAATGGAATAAAAATTCCAGAATACTCAACAAAATTGTCGTTTATGCTGAAAAACTGACTCAATTCATTACTGCCACATAAGCCACACAATTTAGCTTCAAATACATCAACTATGTTTATCCTTTTTGTTGCCATTATCCTTTAATTAAGCATAAAATTTAAGCTTTAATGTTTACTTGAGAAATGTTTGTTTACTCGAGTTTTAGATTGTAAAAACAGCACCAATCGATTACTCTTGATGTATAGAACGCATTTAAGCAACACTTGTTCAACAGAACTATTAATTAACTTAAAATAAGAAATTTTAAAATTGAATTGAATTTCCCGAAAATTGTAAACAATTTGTTTTGAAAATTTACTGGTAACAAATTATTTGAGTAAGTGTCAGACAGTCAAACTGAGAACTATTCTGAAAATTAAGCTAAAATCAGCAAAGTTCAAAAATAATTTAACAGTTTATTTTCATGCGTTTATTTAAGCCACTTAAAGTTATTGAAATTAATCTCATGGAACTAATATCTTGTTATTTAAACACTTCTGATCATTTAATTGCTTTACTATCTCTAAGATTTCTTTGTTTAAATTAAATATCATGTCTAGTTTATCGTTTGGTTCCGTATTTGTGCTGTTTTCTTCGAGGTTTTCGGTTGTATGAGGTATTGAATTATCCGGTAATTCGTAAATTTCTTCCTCTAATTCCTGTGGTTCCTTTTTAATATCAATCTCAATTTCTGGAATTTCTATATCTTGTCCGTCACTGCTGTCTGGTTCCTTTTTAACTTGCACATCACAAATTGATGACACTTCCGAAATTAATAAATTTCCTGTATTTTCTGATGATGTCTTTTCCATTATAACCAGCTTCTCTTTACTCTCTTCAATTGTTACTGCCTTAATTGAGTTCTGTGATACATAGTTCCCAACAATTTTCATAATCTCTTGCAATAATGGACTAAATCTTTTTTGGATGCTTTGAGATCGCTTTTTAAAGTGATAAAACTCGATGATTTTGGGCTTACATAGTGAACAGATGTCTGATGAATCCTTTTGTACCTAAAATAGCCCATCAGTTAAGTTATTTCAGTTGGAATTTAAACGATCTTACATTAATTCCAACGGTAAAGAAAATTACGTCAATAAAAGACAAGCAATAATCATTTTCACGAAGAGATATCTGAAATGTGTCTGTAAATCCAATATGTCCTGATTCGCCACAGATGCAGCACTCGAATATCTTCATCAATTCCTCAATTTTTCGCTTCTTAAACATGTTTTCTGCAAAATTTTCCATTTTATGACTTCGATTTAGACAATTTTTAAAATCCGATTGTTTGTAAACAAACAGTATGCAGAGTTGGATATAGAATGCTTTATAAACTTTAGTTGCTTTATGTTTATAATTGTTTAAGAACTGCCTTGAAAGTTTCAAAGCTGTTGTAGGTTTCTAAAATGCTTCTTTACTTTTTATCAAATAGGTACGTAAAAACAAAGCCATAAAGATCTTAATTCACTCGATTAACAACTCTGTTCAAAATATTCAAACACGTGCGACTTGAAACAAAATATTAAAAATGGAAATTCTAAAGAAATCAACCATAATTTCAGTAGATAGAACGGTACCAAAAAAAGCATCACCAATAATAGGTAATAAGAAACAAGTAACATTGAGTCCAGCGTGAAAACTAATGCTTTAAGTAAATTTTCAGCAACTTTTCAAAATGCAAATTTAAATAAGGAAATTGCAAATCAAGCTGTATGTAAACGAGTAGCAACGACGAGTGATGGAAGTAAATATGCATTAATAGCAACAGAATCAAATGTCTACAAGTCAGATCTTTCAAATGCAGGCAGTGAATTCCAGGATACATACATAGCAATTCACAATAGAAAGACAAAGGAAATAAACTTAATTCAGGTTGAAAATGCATCATTTAAGCATGTACTGTATGATGATACAAGATCCAGTTTCGAAAATAATGTTTTGGATACTGCAAAAATATTAGCAAAGGAGTTTGCAGGCAAGAAAGGAGCAATTGCGTTTGAAAGAAGTCTAAGAACTAAAGTTAATTCATCAATTCTTGAAGATACAGTCGATAAGATGATGACATCAGTAGACACAGACAAGTTCTTTGAAAATGATATTTTAGGACAGTCACAAGAAGACCGTACTAAGTTCCGTGACTACATTTTTCCAAAAATTAATCTTGAGTCAACGGAAGGCAAAAGTGTACGGGAAATTTTCACAGTCAGCAACTTAATTGGTGATGAAATGATTGAGCATTTATCAGAAATAGCTATAGACATCCTTAATATTGAGTCAAAGAACTTGCCGTTTACAAATAAATTCATTAAAAATGCTGTAATAACAGTTCAGAACTCAAAAGTACCGGAATCGGATGACAATTTAAAGAAAATGGCAATGCTCATTTATGCTGAATCGCTAATTAGTTTAATTAATGCCAAATCAAAGTTTGTCAATTTAACAGAACTTACAAAGTTCTCGAATCAATTAGCACAGGATATAAATAAGAAATTCTTCATTGCTGGCTCAAAACAGGTATCAAATTTCACTAGACAAAAATCAATAGTATTCTATATCCTCTTGACCCTATTAAGTTCCGATTCATTGGAAGTAAGCCTTAATGACATTCTCGATTCTGTTAATTTATCAAAGAAAGAGTTGGTAAAGTTTGCATTTGTCATTGGATGTAAAACAAAAGGAGACCTGCTCATGCTTAAGACTGTAGCTAAATTGGACAAAGATGCTACTTTTCAGGTTCCTTTAATGAAAGGCAAGAAGGAAAAGAAAGGAAAGTGAAAATTTATGCTGTAAAATAAAATTGAACCCAAAAAAGTTCAATAATTTGAAATACAGAAAACCGATTGATTTTGCTAGAATTAAGCATAATTTTTTATTGAAATTTTTAAAATAAAGTGGAATTAAACTTATTCATATTACTATAAATTAAAAATCTAATTCATTATAACTCATTGCGACTCCTTTACGTCCCATTTCAACTTTAGCAGCACCATCTTGACCTAATCGCATGTCCAAACCTTGGAAAGTTCTTTCCTGAAATTTATTGAGTGAATCGATATCACTCAGCTGATTATTTCCCGTTTCCATGACCGTACCATCATTATTGACATTAGTCTCTTCCTCATCATTTTGGTCACTTAAATATCGCAATTTTCCAGTTATTAACGATACATCGGAATTGACAACAGACGCTTCATTTGATGATCGATAAAGCTTACCTTCTGGTAGCATTTCACGGAAGTCTGTGCTGTATGTGTCCGGAAATTGATTCGACCAAGCAGGATTTAATGCCATTTCTGCCTCAAAAACAGATATAAGTGGCTTATAGAAGTCTCTAGAATTATAGAGATTATTTTCCGAACATCCAACAAGTACGAAGCAGTCAATTTCTGAGAAATTTGCCAATTTAGCTGAATTAATCTTTCCGACTGAGAAAATGTATGTCTTAATATGTCTTCGTCTAGCCAGATCCTGAATATGCTTGATTATATCCAAATAGCCTTTCATTGTAAGCGTACCAACAACAATTCCAAGAGTTTGCGCATCCTTACATTTTTCAATATAATGACTTCGTTTCATGAGGAACTTTGTGTCCATAGACTGCATTTCTTTTAAGCTATTGATCGTTATGTCAAATAAAAGCCACTTTTTGCACTTAATACCCATGGAAATATTAAAGAACGATTGATTATCCTTGCCTATATAAATGCATATGTAATTTTCCGTGCTCTGATTGTTCTTTAGTGACCAACACAGCACATCCGCTTCCTCAGACTCGGCAAGCTTTCCTATATCGATATTTATATAGTTTAATTGATTCAGTTTGTTCGCAATAGCATCTGGAATGAGGAAAATTAGTTAACAATTCATAATTGTACATGTAGCACATACCGATAACATGATATGATCCAACGTCATAGAATATACAGACTTTTTCCATCTTGTCTGGAACTTTGGAACTAAAGCACTCAATGAATTTGTCTACAGCTAATTCATTCTTAGGGAATATATATAGGATTGGTAAACGAGTAACTTTTGAAAGGCAAGCATGTCCAAAATGTATCAATCCGTCAGCTTGCATGTGACTTGCTGCAATCTGAAAAGATCCAGGAGAAAAATTCATAAATATTTGATTACTTTTATATAATTCAATAAGAACTCACTTCGTCAATGCAACATGATCCATAGGATGTGTCAGCAAGAATGAATATACTGGAATCAACATGCTTTGCTAGTTCAGACTCGATTTTTACAGCTAAATGCAGAATATCATCAGAAAATTGTAAACATATTTTTGTGAGAAATTTCTCTCGAATAAACTTGATGCACCGATTTAAGTCATTTCCTGTCCAAATGTCTGATAGCTTAATCTTCTTATCTATCTGAATATCAACTTGTTTGTCAATTACTTCACTATCGGAACTAGAAAAATTCACAGACATATTTTCTCTTTATTTCACACTTTTGTTATGTCTGTAGAATGGAATTGCTTGCGAATGGAAATGTTCTAAGTCCTCACATGCTTTCCATTACTTAATTTGCCTTTTATTGATGATTGCTGGCTTTAAACGAATTTTATTCACTTGGTTGCATTTAATTTGAACTATGTTGCCACCTGTCAGATTACATTTGAATTTTATGCTCAAAACTTTTTGAACTTAAATCCAAAGTTCAATATTTCAAATTTTAAAAAAGTCGTTAAGAACATTTTTGAATTCACAGATAATCTCTAATTACTCAGTAATTTACACTATATTTTAATATGATATTCCTGCCTGGACATGATATATATTAATCTGCATCACCTTAACTTGCGATTCGCAGGGTATTGTCAAGTTTTAAACATCAAAATTGAACGAACCCCATTTGAAAATTGATTGAATTTTTTTTGAGGAAAAAAATAAAGTTTAATCAAAGATCGTGATGGCATCGAGAATTTTAAAGCTTACGAGTACTCTTCGAGCATTGCCAAAAGCAGGAACAATCCAGGTGAGTCTGAAAATCCACAAATTAAGTGAATTTCAAGATTTTCAATAATAATTTTTGTAAGAAATCTGATGATTATGCAATTGGATAGAAATGCAAAAAATTAAGGCAGTTCCGGCAATTAATTGACTTTCTTATGCCTAAACTACTGCATTGTATTGAATTAAGTCTGTTCCATTAGTTTGATAATGATAAAGTGGTGAATGAAGAAAGATACAGTAGACATAAAGCCATGACACATTAGGTTACAGACAGGACATCTAAAACAGTTTGACTAATAAAAATGTCTTTATTTTAGCGATTAAAGTCAACTAACGCCACAGATTATGCACGAGCACTCGTAAATGTCCCACCAACAACAGTTTCAACATTAGATAATGGATTAAGAGTTGCAACTGAAGACAGCGGTTCTGCAACAGCCACTGTTGGTCTGTGGATCGATGCCGGATCTCGTTATGAAAATGCCAACAATAATGGTGTTGCACACTTTTTGGAACATATGGCATTCAAAGGAACCGCTAAGCGCTCACAAACCGACTTAGAATTAGAAGTTGAGAACATGGGAGCACATCTTAATGCCTATACAAGTCGCGAGCAGACAGTCTTCTATGCTAAATGCCTTTCAAAAGATATCCCAAAAGCTGTAGAAATTCTCGGTGACATCATCCAAAACTCAAAACTTGGAGAGTCAGAAATCGAACGTGAACGAAGTGTAATTTTGCGTGAGATGCAAGAAGTTGAGAGCAATCTTCAAGAAGTTGTTTTCGACCATCTTCATGCCACCGCTTATCAAGGAACACCTTTGGGAAATACAATTCTTGGACCAACAAAGAATATCAAATCAATTACACGTCAAGACTTGAAGGATTACATTGATGCTCATTATCATACACCAAGAATTGTCTTGGCAGCATCAGGTGGTGTCCAACATGATGATTTAGTCAAATTAGCATCAAAGGAATTGGGAAAATTGAAGAATACTTTCGACGGAAAGGCACCAACACTTGAACCATGCCGTTTTACAGGCTCAGAAGTTCGTGTTCGTGACGATTCAATTCCATTAGCTCATGTTGCAATTGCCGTCGAAGGATGTGGCTGGACTGATCAAGATAATGTTCCATTAATGGTTGCTAATACTCTTATCGGCTCATGGGATCGCTCACAAGGTGGTGGAGTCAACAATGCATCACAATTGGCTAAAGCTTCAGCTGAAGACAGTAAGGTTTATTTTTTAATCTAACGGACTTATTTTTAATCTTATGGATTTATTTTAAATCTCCTGCAGGCTTGTGCCACAGCTTCCAGTCATTCAACACATGCTACAAAGATACCGGCTTGTGGGGTATTTACTTTGTATGTGATCCAATGTCTTGCGAAGATATGCTCTTCAATGTTCAAAGCGAATGGATGCGTCTGTGCACAATGGTCACCGAACATGATGTTGAGCGTGCAAAGAACTTGTTAAAGACAAACATGCTCCTTCAACTCGACGGAACCACACCAATCTGTGAAGATATTGGACGTCAAATGTTGTGCTATAACCGTAGAATTCCTCTTCATGAGCTCGAGAAACGTATTGATGTGAGTGACTTAATATTTTATAATTACAGGAACTAAATTTAATCTTTTATATCTACAGAATGTTACCGCCGATAACATCAGAGACGTGTGCATGAAATACATTTATGATCGTTGTCCAGCCGTCGCAGCTGTCGGTCCAGTTGAGAACTTACCAGACTACGTGCGTATCCGATCAAGCATGTTCTGGCTCAGAGTTTAAATTTGTTAATTTTAAAACAAACAAACAAGTAAGAATAATAAAAAAATTGAGCTATACACTTAAACTAGCGAAAAATGAGAGTAAAATTCAAATCAAGCAAGTTGTTAATTCAAAGAAAATAAATTCTGTATGATGTAAGTCGATAACAAATTAATAAAAAATGAAAAATTATTCAAAACGAATAAAATTATGGGCGGAATTGAAGAATTTCAATTGCAAATTATGCTAGATATGTGGATATGTAGATGCTGAAATATCAATATCGTCGGTAATGATTCATTGAAAAATTAATTCGAGATTTTTTTTTCTTCTCCATCTTCAATTGATAAATTCTTGCACATACTAATAAATGTATTCCATCTTATAGATGCTTGATCAAGAAGAAATTGCACTGGAGATGATGGAATGAATAACAAATTAAATCAATTTTTTTCCATCTATGTGCATCCACTTTACATTTTATGCTTAAGATCTCTAGTATGGAAGATGTATTGTGAGAAATTCAGTCTTGAGGTATCAAAAGCGCTGTTTTTAAAGTTCTGTAAGCATGTATCTAGAATGGACAGTCTAGATTTTAGATTGGAATCTCTTAGAGGTTCTCAATATCAATCTTTAATTGATTGTTTTCTTTAATTTTAACAAGAATTTTGTTTCTTGATTCTTCCTTTAACATTATCATTGATGCGGTTTTGTTTGGGAACTTCTAACAACTCCATATCAATCAAATTCTAACTTATGAACGTTCAATAATGTCAAAATGATCGTTAATTTCGGACGTTATAATTGAACGACCGCTAAGATAAACGACAGGACATAGTTACTTCCAAAACACACATTTTCTCAATATTCTAGCTCCTTAAAAATATTGTGTATCTTCCCGAATGTTATTCAATTATTTGTCTATCCAATGATTTATGATTATTGAAGAATATTGCATTGGTTATCGTAAGAATAATTGAAAAATTTCACATGAAGAATAATTACGTAAGGAACATCACATCATAGCTGTAATATGATACATCTTATTTATTTTCGATTAAAATGGATTTTCCAAGATATCTTGTCCTTGTTACACAAGAAACATGCTGGCAAGGATATGTTGGAACAAATTGAAATATGGAAATCGTATAAAGTCTGTTTACATTACAGTTTGTCTGGAAAATGAATGCGCATGCATCAAAATTCCATTGCTTCCAAATTTTACTCACTTCCATTCTCTCTTAAAAGTTCTTTGTTGTGGCTCAGGAACAAAAGAATGACTCGTCAGTATCTCTTTAGATTTTAGACAAACAAGATGAATTGCTGATCCATAAATACATAAAAATATTATTCATACAATTCGATTATTAGGAGGAAATGAGCAATGATATGTAGTTTGTCCGGAAAAGGATCAAATGCCACACCCCGAGAGTACTTGTACAAAAGGAATTTTGAATCATATGAGACGACAAAGTTGAATGAAAGGAACGGAAGAGAAAGTAGATTCAATAAAGTATTCTCAATCTTTTAAATTGGATCCCTTTTCCGCTTATACATCTAATACATACAATGACGTGATAGTGTGAATAGGATATAAACTTTAAGTCGTAAAATGTGTGATTTCATCACAATGTCAAGTAAAACGGTCTCGAGATATCTTCTGTAAAAAATTTAGAGGGTTCTTCTATTTTTTTTTATACCACAACAACTACTTGAATGAGAGACAGGCACAAGGCATTGCATGTTTCCCAAACAATTTATTAATATGAGACAATAGATACACATGAGATTGAACATGAAACTTATGGATGTAAACGGAGAGGAATGAAAGTTTTTGGTGAAAATGAATAGAGAAAAATGAGATTGAGTTGGATGATGATGAAGCATTTATGGCATACATTGTTAAAGGATAGTTGGAGCTTTTGTTTCTTTTAAGTTCTTTTGGATTTTTGTTGAAGAAAAGCTTTAAAACTTTTAAAGAGTTTGTTGAAATAATTCAAAATGTTGAAATATCCTAAAACATGATTTATCTCCATTCCCAAGAATACTTGAAGAAAACATTGATTGATTTTAATGATTTTTCAAACATCCTCATAAAGTTCCTTCATTAAACTCAAAATATATCAATCATATCGACAATATAAATCCTCACAACGTATGCTGATAAAATGCCAATAGGAAAAACAATTTAGAATTTAATTCATTTATTTGTTCTTGATTTTATTGCATTCTCTCCTGTTGCAAAAGAAATAAAACAGAAGAAAATCTCTCATCAATTATCCATAACATAACTCGAAGCAATTTGAAAACAAAAGCATTTTAAACTCATGCATGAGTTATTCTCATAATTTTTTACCACAGATTCTTTTCTTTGCTTATTGTTTGGCTTATGAAAAAAAGGAGAATAAAAAATTTATTTCGAAAGCTGAAAGAAAAACCTTGCAAATTGAGATGAAGGATACGGAGGAATTTGTTTAAAGAAAATAAAGAATGATGGAAGATTTTCGAAGACTTTGAGCGCATTTGAGATTTAGTGATCGTAGTTTTGGATGACAACAGATGCAACGTTTTGAGTTGATTCCATTTGAGTTGAATTCAGTCGAGTTCAAGCTCTGATCAGATGAATTTCTTTGAATATTAAGTTTTCATTTAACTCTTTGATTTACTTACTGTGAGTAAGGGTTGCAGCGTAGGATACGCATGGGATTGGTTTGTTAAGAGCTGATAAAACAGTTCTCTAACCAGCCATCAAAGTCGGATCGATTCTATAATTTCCAGTGAATGTAAGATGCTCTTTTAACAAGAACATCTCTGTATTTCATCTTGATGGAGCTTGAATTGCAAGTAATTCGTAAGATAAGCATAGTATCATCCCCTCATTGCTGATTTACACAAGTTTATAAACTAAAAGACGACAATGAACGTCAACGATAATCAGAAAAGTTTACAACTACGAACTTTATCAGATCCAGTGCAATTTTCGGGTAGCAGAACACGATTTTATCGCAAAATATTTCTTATAACTCACAATGGTCTTGTTCTCAAACACTTATTCTACTTAAAATGCAAAAGAATCTACAAGCATAACCAACCAAAGTGAATAAGACATCACTCTTGAGTCCGCAAAGAAATGCACTAAGAAAGTTTGTTCAAGAAAAGCTCTCAAAAAATTATTTTCCCTCCTCCAACATGCAAATTTTTATTCCTTTTTTTTGCCTCTGACCGACTGAACGAGAGATTCTTGCATTGTTGTTCATAGAATAGTGAGAATGGAAGAGTGAAAAAATTATAGAAATAGAAGAAAGTGCCCCTAAGCACGAGAAACACAAAAAAATTCTTTTTTCTTCTAAATTTTTTGCTGTTGTTATCACAAAAAAACACAAGAGTCGTGATAAATTGGCGAACAAACATCAGCAAGAGCTGCTTCTCCTTTCGTTTTGTGAATGTTTGCAATGATTTTTAATGCACAAAAAGAAAGGAAGAATAAGCAAAGAGCAGTGGCATAGATAAAGAGAAAATGTAGAACGAACATAAAGAAACAGTGTAATAAGATTAATTTATGATTATAAACACAAGCTTCACATTTTTATCATCCTCTTTTTCCTTTTGTTTCACACTCTTTACTCTTATTCTCATCTCACTTTTTTCGTTGCACGTGTCAGGGTTGCTGATTGAGTATGTGTTTTCTATAGCTGGAAGTGGAGGGCGGTGGAGCTTGGAACACTTTAGGATGTAATAGCCTCAACTCCTGCGATTTAGAAGATGAATAGTGCATACAACAATGTTTAATAAGCCACTATTCCTTGCTGTTTAGTCACCGGCTCAATCTGAAGCTTCCCTTCCCAATTTTTAAGTAGAGTACACTCAATTAGATTCAAACTTAGTCAAGGACAGGTTTTAAAACCTATCTAAAGCATCCTAAGACATGAATAGAATTTTATGCCCTAGAAACTGGATCCAGATTTTATGAAATCTCAAAAACATCACATCTGCCAACCCTGTCAGGTGCAAAATGCTTATTGTCGTCATGCTGATTCTCTTAATCCTTTTTTTTCCTTCTCGTGCATTGACAACGAGTATAATCACTCGAGAGCATTTTAATTTTCTATGTGGAAAATATTTAATTTCATTTTCATTTCTTCTATGACTTTTCACACTTTGAATGAATGGAAATGGAAATAGAAAGTTAAAGCTTCACATTTTAATTATTGAGTGGCATTCGTTTATCGTATAATTTATTGAAATTTATGCTTGAATTAAAAGAAAAAAATTAATGGATTTTACGATGAAGAGATTAAGAAGGATGTATAATTAGCTAGAAACTCAAGAAACCAAAAAAGTGTTTGAACTTCTTAGTATGATTATAGTAGAGTTGTATTTTATTTGAATGAAATGAAGAAGTTTATTATTAAAGTGTTGGTGGAATCACTCAAATAGTGACTTTTGGTTAAAGTTCAGATTAATGAATTCTTATTCAAAACTTATTGTGTCTTTTTGTTGCATTTTAAGCTTTGGTAAACAGCTTGTTGAATGATTTCTCATCAATAAGGATTTCTATTTAGCTTTAAATAAAAGTTGAGTTGTTCACAGTTTTGGAGTAAGTTCAAGTTGTAAACTTGAGATCCAAGCTCTTGAACAAACAAAAGAAAGTAGAATTTTAAATATTCCTGATTTTAGCTTTTAATTTGATTTCATTTTCATCTCACAGCTACTTCTGATTATCATTTGCTGTTTAAAAACCACGTTGCAGTAATTTTTCAAAAGCATCATTGCTATAAAATAATTTAAAATTCCATTGTAATGCAATTCATTAAATCTGGATTAAACTCTTTACAAATATTCAATTTAAAATGCATTACAGCTTTATTTATTTATTTAAATATTTATAAATCCATTATTCGTTGAATTTTCACGATAAAAAAAATAATATGCCTCATTTACGGCATATCCATCAGAAATCATTGAAAATTAATTATTCTCCAATTTAAAGGAATTTATCGTCATTGCTGACTCTATGATGTGGTATAGTAAAAATTGAATTTAATTAATTTTCGCTAACTTCAGTTCCTATATGTAGAGCATTGAACGGCACCGGAAATTGATTTATCTAGCAATTGTGAGAAAAATTGTGCCATGAATTTTTTAATTAAATGCTATTAAAGGAACTGAAACTGTTGCTGTAAGGA